TTTGCAGGTTGGTGTACAACATACACGGCGGGATGTAAACAAAGCTACACTAACGCTCAGCACTCCCAGTGAGAATATTGAGAATCAACGCATAGTGGGCCAGCTCAAATCGACCCACCCTTCTCCATATACCAATGCATTGTTCCCTGACAGTCAAGCGCCGCCGGCTGGCTTTGCGTTGTCCATTACATTCTTATGGTGGCTAGAAGGGCCCAAAATCTGTGACCCTCCAATGTGTAATAAATCATGTAAAAACAACAGTCCTCCATCATGTAAAATCATGAATTGCTTACTGTCTGTCTGTAAGCACAACTATAGTGTTAGCAAAACGGGAGTGCCGATGGAGACCTGTGGGGGTGCGTGCGTTTGAAGGGACTTGACCTGGTCTCCATCGGCACTCCCGTTTTGCTGACACTGTACTTTGTGTGTGACTAGCTATCCAAAAGAAGGTTACACAGCGTAGTCTATACTATGTGGGAGGCTTCCCTTCTTGAGAATTTCTTTAGAGGTTGGACAAAAGTAACAATTATATGGGACCTACATGTTAAATGGTTTATCCTAAAGCCCTCAGTCTTTCTGTACCCAGAACCCGTATTCCTCCCATTTACAATGTAGGCCATGCCCAAGCAGATAGACAATTAGCTAAGTAACATCCCTCTAGTTACTTAAAATTTTTTACAAACTATTTACAATTTCATATAATCTTTTTATTTGTTTGCTTTTGACTGTTACAGAAGGCTGTACAAGAGAACTGTGTTAATCTTGAGTTTCCTGTTATGGCATGGAATTCTGCTTGTAAGTTCTACGAGGCAGTCGGGGCCACCAAATTAACAGTTGCCAAAGAGTTGAACCTGAATCGTCTCGCTGTCGAAGCCATGATGAAAAGAACTGCCCAAATGTGAAGTTAAGTTTTCATACTGTATTAAAACATGTTTTTTACTCCTTGTTATTTCTTCATTCCCCCTTTCTGAATGCCAATGCTATAAATTGGGTCATGAGTTTTATCGTAACAGGTTTGCTGCGGCAGGTTTGAGACAGATCGCTACCCGAGAGGGCTGCGCCAATCACAGGGTGCTCCACAATTCTAATTTTTGACCAAACCAATGGCTGTGACACTTAAAAGACCTGAAGTCCTACTGTGAACTGTGTTACAACTGGATGTAATTGTATGGCAAAACTGATATTCAGTAACCAATAACAAAGTGCGGTGTAGATCTGCAACATTTGCTGGGCAGTCACTCTGTAGATACACCGCACCCGCATCAAACTTGTTTATAGTTGAGAAATATTGAAAATGAACTTAAATGAGTTATGGTCACTTAACTTAGGCTATTGATTCAAAACAAATATATATATGAACAAGGAATCTACTTATTCTCCATACAATTATTTAGGATTTTTAAATTTACAGTTTTTTAGAATTTTTCCCATAGCTATTTGGCATACGTTTCATTATAATAAATTATTTATTTTTAAGCTCTGCAAAATCAAAATGGTTTGGAAAGAAATTGGAAATTGTATGTTTTGAGGGTAAAAGAAAAAAAATTTTCAACCAAATGGTCATGGAAATTAATGGAAAATTTTCTGTCGACACATGAAAAGGTTGCGACGCTACTTTCTGCACTGTAAAAAAAATATTACAAGTAAGTGCAGTCGCAAACGTTTGCCGGGGATAGCTCAGCCTACAATGGCTGGGTAAAGTTCCAGGGTCTGCGATAAGGTCAGGGAAACCACTAGGCCAAAAGCCGGGTCTAACCGGTATAGGACTGACTCATACACGGGCACTGTGAACAAGTAAAAAACAAGTCACCAAAACAAACCTGCAATAATCACTACCAGGCCTACGCCGATTCTCCACTCTCCTAGGGGGTCGTTGCTGACTACGCAACTCGGGCTTCGTCCTAACTATCCAATAGTTAAGCCCAGAGTGCCTAAAACACAGTGAGTTACACGACGACTTGCCAATAAAAACCACAACGCGAGTTATCCCCAGGCGGGGTCTACTAGGCCACTATAATCCAATACACAACTCTATTGCCCAAGCTAACAATCAAACAGTTCACTCAATAACAATACCATATAATAGTACAAGTATACTATAGGCAGAGTGACAAAACCTCTAGTAGCTGGTCTCAATAAATACCAAGCCAAACAAGCAAAGCTAAATATCAATTGCACTACTATCAAATTATTGAGTTACTTAGTAGCAGATAAATAAATATTAAATACGTTCCAAACACTAGATAAATATATTATCTGATAGCCGGTACTCCGCTATCCAAGCTACCAAGATAACGTGTTGGATTACTAAACAAGCTGTTCAGGTTAAATTAAGATAATCAAATGATTAATCAACAACAACCCTACTACTGCTACTGCTACTGTTACTACCAACTTTATATTACTTAGCTGGGCTTCTGTTAATAGGCTAATAATATTAGCTACTAGCCTACTGGCCACGTGCTTCCAACTATGCACGCTAAATCGTGCAGCCTAGGTTTGTCGGGCCTCACAGTTATTAGTAATATAACCAACTCTTGGTACAACGCAAAATAATATCTACTACAGTCAATAAAATATATTATTTGCGCTTTAGCACCTGCCCAGAACCGTCAGGAATATACCTTGATATTATTCCTGACTAATAAATAAATCCTAACTACCGTCAGGCTTTGACCAGTTTGGTTACAACTAACTCTCGCAATAAAATCAGATATTAATATTATCAACTCTTAAACCAAAATGTAAGGAACGTCGTCCACTCACCAATAGTGGGTCTGTACCCAACTTACACCAACACTCGGTGCGATCACACCACCAACGTACTCCGACACCACTGTCACGTACACTCCTCTCTACGTACCCCACCGACGTATCCCAGTCGTCTCCACAAGACACCTCACTATCCTCATTGTCCGGGATCCACGACTCGAATGTCTCTGTCCTAGACTGTCCTGAGAAACTAGGATATCCCAGGCTTATCGACACTGATAAGCCGGGTCAAAGGGCGCTCGCTAGCTTCGCCGCCGCCGCTTGCTGATGCCAGCAATAGGTGCGCGGTCAAATAGCAAATATTTACCCCCCTAGGAAAAATAACTCGTTACAAGGTAATACCCAATTTTTACCCCATAAACCCTGTTTTCATAGTCTGATCATGGTGGTTCGTGAACTTTTTAGAATCAATTTAGGTTTACACGTAAGTGGTGATCGATTTCGATTGGACACTCCAATAGACCCAATGGGCGAATGAACTTTACCTTGATTCGCCTATTGTGTCTTATGATGATTGGAGTGTCCAATCAAAATCGATCACCACTTAACATCTTTTATGTGTATTTACTTTCTTTTGAGTAACAGTATAAGCGTAAATATATGTTGGAAGTGTTTTAAGACGTTTCTTTCATTTACTTTCCGTTTACACGTTTAAACAGAATTTCCTCTAAATTGGATGATTTTTTTAGTTTTTGTAATCAAGGTAGATATATAAATTTGAACGGATAGTTATTTTGACCTCTGGGTACATCAAAAGGAAAAAGCATTTCATTCCTGATGGGTTCCTTACCATGAAAATAGCCCTAATAATAATCCTAGCCATGATTCCAAGGGTAATAGCTTATTCCCTGTGTATGGGAAACTCGCTAAAACTATAGCTACACAAATTAACAAAAAATAATATAATGACTACCAAATTTCTTATTCAATTTCTATTGGACCATTTTAGAGCTACAGAACCTGTTCTACCTACTAACAATTAATTTACACTCACTGACATTTTTGATGTGGTTCAAAGTATGATATGTTTACTTGCATACTCTAAAATACCTCAAAATTAAATTTTCAGAATATTTCCTCTAGCACATTTTACAACTCTACTGAACAAGTAATAGTTGTATATTTGCAGAGAGATGCCATACATGATAAGGGAATGTTTGTTAACCAGTGTTGGTTAAACTTTTGACAAAACAGCTTGTGATACGGAAGTGTGTATAAGTTACTTCTTTAAAAATCAATATTGTTAAAAGTTTGTTTATATAAAAATAAGAATGATTATTACTCACAAAAAGATTTTGATTTTGTCTCTCAAGCGTAGCTATTGCTTTGTTAAACGGATCAATATTCAATTAATAGGCCTACAGCTAGGCCCAACTAAATCGTACACTGACTTGGGTTTCAACATTGACTTTTATTGTCAATTTCAGTTTTAGTTACAGTCTTAAGATTTTTTTATTTCATGCAGCAAAAATATAACAATCTTTGTTCTTTTTTTAGTGAAAGGTTGGAAACATAAAATATGTCTCAGCGTTGGATTTTCGATTGACATTGGGGTTCGATTTAATAATGAACGATTATTTTACACAAAAAAAGGAAACTCTAAAAAATACAGCACTAACCTTAGTTTTTACTTTTGAAAAATAAGGCCAACTAACGGGCTGAGTAAATACAAATAAATAAATAAACAGAACTAATAAAGCTGTTACTTTTGTTTTTACCTTCAAAAATAATAAAAATCTTTATTCCAGGTCTGCATTATGTTGCTGACACATTATGATGTGTATTTAATTGACATGTATCGAATTAAAAAGGATGAGGACAAAACTACTTATTATTACTCACTAAGAGAAGCTGATTCTTAAACCAGGACCACTTGTTAGTCATAAATCTTTAAATGGCAAAACTAAACAAAAAACTATATTAATCAACAATAAACTAACATGTTTTTTTTAATCATTTGATTTTACAATAATTGTAAAGAGGATTTTTTATTTCATAAATTCCTTACATGGATACAAAATTGGAATCATAGGTGACACTATTAAAACTGTACACAACTTTAAGTCAAACACTTAAAAATGTTTGTGTTAGTTGAATTATGATCTTACAGTTATTTGGTAGCGGTGTGATAACAGTAACTATATGACAGACTAAGATTTAAGTAAATACAAAGATAAGTGCGAGGCTAAGGCTGTGATGAGGTGAGGTAGTCAATTCTCAACATGGACGCAAGTGTGAGGTCCATGGTACGGATGCCGCGGGCCAACCCTAAGATCAAGGCCAGCGCTGTTTCAAGATTGTTTTTCTTGTAAGTACAATGATTTTTAAGAAACGTTTTCAATTTATTGATAAAGTTTTAAAGAATGTAAATAAGTTACTAGGCTTTAATATGCACTTTACTTTAACTATGCACATAGTATTACTACTTACATTACGTATAATACTGTTAAAGCAATGTAGGATTAATTTTCATACTAAACTGTTATTCAAACCTACAGCAACTATATTACCAAGTATAGTCCATTCACTAAATTTAGGCAGTTTCAGGGGGTTCCCCCCACCACTTTTCTTCTTGATGTATGTTACAGCTTGACGGTTAGAGCTCACTATAACAGCTGACCAGCTGTTTCAAATCTGCTTTTTGCAAATTTGCTGCAAATTTTGGTGGAGGGTATGGAAATGTTTCCCCTACAACTGCCAAAATTTATGAACAGAAGCATGTTAATTCTACAACTGAAATTTACTTGACTTTCCCGGTGTACCGTAGTTGGTGACGATGATTTGTTAATAAGCTTGTAAACATGAAAGATAAAACTGTTGCATAGAACAATCCAACAGATAGTCTTATGTCTATCCATACACTGTAGTTGTTTTAATTTATACAGGTGGATGATAGATATAATTCGACAAGGCAACAAAGAAGATTTTGAAGAAGATGACATTCCTGAAGCTATGCCAGATCATAAATCTGAATTCCTTACAAATGGTCTTGAAAAGTATGTATAATTTATTAGTAGAAACTGTTTAACAGATTTAAAATATACTAGTATACCCTTAGCTCGAAATTGAGCAATTGTTACAGGAGTGATTTTATAACAGAGTAAATTAGAAATAAACTAGCATATTAAAAATATAGATAACTCTCATTATTATTTCAGATTAATGTATTAGATTCTACTTATTAAATACCTATTAAGTATCTTCTGGAATTACTAACTCTGTTAAAAAAGCTCTTAAATATTTAGACTATTGGACATATTTTATAACTTTTCGGGAGCTGACTTTGTTCATTGTTGTTTTACAAAATAGTAACAAATATAACTATTTCTTCGATTCTAAAAATCTGTTTTCATAAATAGTGTGTTTTATCCATATATAAATCCCAAAGTACCCTTGAACTTTTGAGAAAACTAAGAGTCACTCATCCATAAACCATATACTGTACTTGAAATGTTCCTCATGACAAGAAACCTTGTGCAAAACCATCCATTATTTCATAAATTGCCTTTAAAGGACATAATTCCTTTCTAAAGGGAACTTATACTTATTTAAAAAAAAATACCTTAGCTGTACTTATTTGTTTGTTATTCTTTCAAATTATTACCTCAAAATCAGGTGTGATCATTAGTTTGTATTACTGTATTCTGTTTTGTTTATTTCAGCTTAACTTAACCAATCAATAGTTTTATTAATACTTAATATGAAGTCAAACGGGGTGAAGCCCAAGGGTAAAAGCTAGTTTACATAATTTTCCTTTGTTTAAGTACTTATCTCTCCTATAGTTATTCTTTAATATGAACTAGTGTACATGTTGCTCGAATTCGAGCAATTGCAAAGTATTACAGGAGTTATTTCAAAACGAATAACGGTCATATTTACAATGAGTTTAAAAGAGCCAACTCAAAGATAACCGGTGTGTAACTCAGACTATGTTTATCTTCGTTATTGATAAACCTAAAGCACTCCAGCCGGTTTTCTCCTTCTCTAAATGCCTCGCTATACATGCAACACAGGTAGAGGGCCAATTGGGAACGAAAAGTCGTTTTGGGGTAGGCCTAGTGTTAGGGCGCATTTGTAACCTAATAGTTGAGATTGTCCAGGGTCAGGTGCTGACTGTGGATGAGTTAAACCTATTACGCGCCACTGTTCTGTAGCTGAGGTCGTTATCACGATTACGCCATCTGTCTGTTTCGTTGTCGTCGCGTTGGAGGCATTTAAAAGATTAAACAACAACTAAACAAATTATAGCTACACAAAACAACGATAAACGCATAATTTTAAGTTACAATCATGCTAGCACGATCCGTCATAGCGACACAAAACAACGATAAATACACAAATTTAAGATACAACCATACTAACACGATCATCGATCTCTATTATCCGTCTTGGGGTTATGTTTACACAAACTCAAATAGTAAATAAATGTAGCCTACTCAATGCGTTTCATTGAATTGAAAAATAAATAACAGCAATTAAATTATACAGCTGATCAAAATGTAAACAATTATGTTCTCCATAAGGATAACATGGGAACTTTCAAAGCCACTGGGGCAGAGCCCAAGAGACGCTTTCAAAAATGTAAGGTCAGTTTGCAAATCTACGCGACGTGCTCTTTCCAATGAGACGTCAACTGTTAAAATCGGTTAAGAAATGGCGGAGGAGTTCAACTGACAAAGTTTCATGTAGCGTATCTATATATACTAGTGTAAACGTTGCTCGAATTCGAGCGATTGCAAAGTATTACAGGAGTTATTTCAAAACGAATAACAGTCATATTTACAATGAGTTCAAAAGAGTCAACTCAAACATTACCGGTTGGTGTGTAACACAGACCATGTTTATCTTCGTTATTGATAAACCTAAAGCATTCCGGCCGGTTTTCTCCTTCTCAAAATGCCTCGCTGTACCAACACAGGTCATTGATAGAGGGCCAGTTGAGAACAAAAAGTCGTTTTGGGGTAGTGTTAGGGCGCATTTATAACTTAATAGTTGAGATTGTCCAGGGTCAGGTGCTGACTTGATGAGTTAAGCCTATTACGCGCCACTGTTCTGTAGCTACGGTCGTTATCACGATTACGCCTCCTGTCTATGTTTCGTTGTCTTCACGTCGTAGGCATTTAAAAGAAAAAAACAACAATTAAACACATTATAGCTATACAAAACAACGATAAATCCACAAATTTGAGATACAACCATACTAACACGATCCGTCTTGGGGGTTATGTTTACACAAACTCAAATACTGTAGTAAATAAATGTACTCAATGCGTTTCATTGGATTGAAAAATAAAATAAATAACAGCAATTACAGCTGATCAAAATGTAAACAATTGTGTTCTCCATAAGGATAGCATGGGAACTTTCAAAGCCAATGGGGCAGAGGCCAAGGGACTTTTTCAAAAATGTAAGGCCAGTTTGCAAATCTACGCGACACGCTCTTTCCAATGAGACGTCAATGGATAAAATCGGTTAAGAAATGGCGGAGGAGTTCAACCGACAAAGTTTCATGTAGCGTATTAATTATATAGATAAAAGGCAAAGCCCTCACTGACTCACTGACTGACTCACTCACTCATCACTATTTCTCTTACTTCCCATTTACCTAGGAAGCTGAAATTTGGTACACTGATTCTTTAGGCTTTAAATAGGAAAACTAATTAGTTTTGATTCTGATCGGACTCTCGGGCTCCGCCCCAGTGGCTCTGGAGTTTCCCATGTTAACCTTATGAGTACTCATATTTAAATGGAATTAATGAATCTTAACAGCTGTTTCAATTAAACAAGTTGGTTCTGTTCTATGATGTTCAATAGCATTAAAGGTACAAGGATTACCAACAGGGTGCAGCACTAATATTTTTTTAAATTTATGACAACAGCTAATTTGCAACCCAAAGGTGAGTGAGCGTAGCGAACGAGCTAACCTGAAGGCAAGTGAACGCAGCGAACGAGCTCCAACGTAAAGGTGAGTGAGCGTAGCGAACGAACTTCAACCAGGGCGTGCGAACGAGCTCACTTATGAAGTTAAACAGGGCAAAGCCCGAGGGTACAGCTAGTTAATTATATAGATAGCCATTTTAAAGTGGAAAACACATTGACTCATATACATTCAATGAATTCCAACCCAATTCTACTATTTTTTTTTTCAATGTAGAATAAATATCTCTAGCAAAATTTAGCTTTTATGGTGGGCATTATAACTACTCATCTATTAAATACTGTTTTTATCTAGTAATCTTAAAGCCAGGTTTTCCTAGGCGCGGAAGTGGAGAGTGGAGAGAGGAACGCGGAGAGCGGACTCCACTTGTCTTAGGTAATTTAATGTTACTGTTTTCCTAGAAGCGTAGCAGAACACCATGTTAATCTCTTTTCTGCTCTCCGCGTTCCTCTCTCCGCTCTCCGCTTCCTCGCCTAGGAAAACCCAGCTTAACTATGAGATCATTGGTTAACAAACTTAGTCATTATCATTTATCATTTTAATTTTTTAGAAAATGGGAGGAGGAGAAGAATAGAGCATCAATTCACAAGCGATCCCCTAGCCTGACAAAAGCCATTATCAGGCAATTTGGTCTGCAGTTTCTTTACATGTGTTTGCTGTATCTTTTGAAAGATCTAATCTCTGCGTAAGTATAGCTGCCAAAAATGTTTCTAATTCTAATTCTAATTCTAAAATGTGAAATTTTCTATGTTTCTTGTATTGTGCAAAGACTTTCTTAGCCAAACTTTTAGATATCCTGGATACAAACACAACTACAGTTGACTCCCTCTTATCCGGACTCCTCGGGACCAAGGCCAGTCCCGACGTCCCCAAAAACTCGTTAAAACGGACTGTTTACTGTGATATTAGACTTAAATTTAGAGTATTGTATTTAGAAACGTGATCACTGGTCTCAAATCTTTCCCACGAGAACAGTCGTTTCAGTACTGCCCACTTCCTGCCAATCTAGTCCGGTTAAACCAATGTGCATTTTTAGAATAAACCATGTAAGAATAACAAAAATTGTCCGGTTAAAGAGATGTCATTTCCGCCGAGTGTAGTCCGGTTAAACTGATGTCCGGATAAGAGTGAGTCTACTGTATTAGTGTCGTTAAACCGAAATCAATGCTAGGGGTGAGAGATCTTGATGCCGCCTTCAGGGATTCCGAACTGGTAAAAACCTCTGTTCCTATGGGTGATCTGTGCTCTGGGAGTTAGAGACACAACTAAGTTACTAGCTGAGGGACCTCTCAAGATTGGGTGGGTAAAACTTTGGGTTTAGAAAAAGCTTGTGACCTCAAGACGTTTTAAATGTATAAGTTTAGACTACATACAAATTCACTGCTCTCATCCGAATCAAATTAAAAGAAATTCAGTTAACAACCTTTTTGCTCTAAATCATTGGGTTATTGATAAATTGTCCTAGCTTTGAAACCAGCTGATCTTGGTAACAATGCTAACATTTCATTCATTCAACATTCTTTAACCTTGAAAGTTGAAATACACATCGTAGAAATCTAATCTGAAATCATCTGTTGTAGACTTTAGGAGTGGACATCAATAAACAATTTTAAGGCCAACTACAAGTTCTTTTATCCTATCATTCATCATTGTGTCCTCAGTGCTCTAAGTCCCTACTTGCTCGGTGTCCTGCTTCACTTCTTCAAGCCGGCCTCTACTCTCTCTCAGTCCGATGCACTGCTCACCGCTACCACCCTCTCTCTCACTACTTTCATCGTTGGACTGATCACTGTCCATTTCATGAACTCTGCACAACTATTCGCCATCCGAGTCCGAGCTGCTTGCATCTCTATGGTGTATCGCAAGGTAAACATGTCAAATTATATGTTTTAGCTTTGACTATAAAAGTAGACACAGTGCCGTATTTAGGATCTATGAGGGGTGGCTCACCCCAGACAGGTCCCACTGATCTCATTCTTCAGTACCTGGAGCATAGGGGGCCTAGAAATACACCGTGATATTGTTTCAAATTAATGACCTCAATGTGGCTAAGCCATGAGACTGTACATAGCAAATGTTTTTATTTAGACCTACTATGTACAGTCTCATGGCTTAAGCCCCCCATACACTATCGAACATGCCACCCGACCTGACAACCTGACCTGACGACGGACCCATCATCCAACCTGACTTATGTCGGGTGTTTCCCACACACTATCGAGGATGTTACCCAACAAGTCAGGTGAAATATTAGTTCTGAGATGGATTTTGAGACGACTGTTAACTGTTTCAGGGGGATTTTTAGCGATGATTTTAGGGATTTTTAGAGCCTATGGAACTAGGCTCTTAAATTTTCAATTTTATTTTTAACGAACTTTAAATCGAACTCTGGATACAGTTCCTTGCACTTTTCCATCAGGATATCGTGCCCCTATGTGCATGTTTGTTGCAATAGAGTTTACTTTTGACATCCCACAACGCCTTCTGGTCTCTGTAGAGTTAAATAAATTCTGACCAGAACTGTTTATTATTATTAACATTTTTGTTTATTATTACAATTACACACGGTCCAACATGTCAGGCGGACGGCTCGAGTCGGGTGGTGCTACTGGACCGAGCATCCGACCTGACATATCCGTCGAGCATGTCGGGTTGGAACCCACACACTGTCCAATATGTTCGACAAGACGTCGGATCCCGACATGTCCGTCCAACATGTTGGATAGTGTATGGGGGGCTTTAGCCACACTCAATCCTTTGTTTTCAACTGTCCGACGAAATAGACCTAGTAGGCTAGAAGATGAGCTAATAAATAATTCAATTTTTTTAGCATAACAATAGGGGTGTGTGTGAAACATTTTGGCCAAATCAGGTCAAAATCGGGTTGCTTTAGAAATCATTGGTTTTAAAAAATACAATTGTTGCAGTAATCGGTTTCAGCAATAAAGCCGGGATTGTGAACACCAAACAAAATTGAAAATAAAACGAAAAAGTCCCTTGGAGTCTCAACAAAGTCTTGGACATCTTCTGCGATCACGGAGATATCATTTTTGACTTGGCAAAGCAGTGAAACCAAACCAAAACCATGAACATCTCTTGTAACCACAGGAAAATCTTGATCATCTTACACAGTAGCAGAGACTTCATAGTTCTTTCCCACAACGATGGCAAAATTGTAATTTTTATAGCGCAATCTTCGCAGACGCCTATGTTGAATGTAAGAATAACAACGCTGCAAAAAATTTGAGCCTCCTAACATATTACCGATGAAATTCATTTTTCAAGAGAAAAAAAAGTTCCTAAGTACTGTAGCCCCAAGTGAGGCCCTCTCCTAGGCCGAGGTCCCTGGACATTTTCTTAGTCTGCAGGTTTTCTGTGGCGGAGGTATTTTTGCATTGCTAAAGCTTGTTGTATTGTTATTGAGAATAAACATATTGTATTAATTGTACATTTATTTTCAGTGTTTGAGACTAAGTCAGTCTGCCATGTCGGAGACCTCCCCTGGACATATCATTAACCTTGTCTCTAACGATGTCGCCAGGTAATCTGATTGTATTGTTTAAGTCAAATTATTGAGCTGTATGGGATGTGATTAAGGAAGAACGTGAATTAGCAAACTTCAATGGAATACAAGTCAAAATTAGCTGTACAATTCTTTAGGAACCCTGTTTTGGAAATTAAAAAAGAATAATGATTTGAACATATATTATTATGATATATATTTTTTTATAATTAATTTAATTTAAATAACATTTTATCACGTGCTCAAGTTGCAGACCAGTTGAGCATACCATCCTGAGTCACAATCATGTCATTGGTCAATGAGTTTTATTGAAGTAGTATGATGTTGTTATCTGATGATGTCATAGGTTTGGTTGCAATCACGGTAGACTATGATAGGCTAATGACTAGACTACAGGAAGTATTAACGATTTTGCCGCGATCATGGAAGACGACAATGACGCCTCGGTGCCTCGGGAGATGCCGTGCCAAGCTAAAGTGTAAGTTTAGGTGGCAATACATGTGATAATGTTTTTAAAGATTATTGGGAGAGGGGGCCCTGCGATCCAATTTTCCGGGGGGGGGGGGGGGGGCGGTCTCTTATCGTCGTCACTGTGTTGCCTTGACAGGGATCTCTTTCATAGACACCGTACATAATGGATGGGGTACATGCCATCTTTTTTATTGGTTGATTGATTGATTGATTGAAACATTGGTGTTCCAGATTTGAGCTGGTTACGTACATGATGATGCCAATGCTTAGTGCTCCGTTTTTGTCCGCAATTCTAATATATCTAAATTACCAAATTGGAGGACCAGCCAGTTTAGCTGGTGCCGCGGCTCTTGTGATAATTCTCGTCATACAGTGTAAGTTGGAATCCATAACAATTGTGGTAATTTAATCATTCAACTATCCATTAAAAGTACTTTAAAATCTTGATTTACATGATACTTGTTTCATACAAGAAGTCTGCAGGTTTTTCGGTGGTGGGGGTGTAAATTTTTATCACCTGTTTAGTTGTACATTTTGTTTACATTTTACTCAAGCATAAGACTAAATAAAAGTTTGTTTGCTTCTGCTTGCTACCCGATCATAGCAGAATCACAATTGCTTGTCCTAGTTAATAACATACCTGTCTCTAAAAGCTGAAAACTGTACAGCTCTCATTGGGTTCTTAATTTTGTGTTATGTCTAACCATGTTAGCCAATTGTGGCTTGGACCTAGAACAAAGTTTTATTTGATATATTTACCATGCAGCTAAACAAAAATGAGACTGATGTGATGAGGATTGTGTTAGTCTGTAATCTTTTTCATGATATGTATATAAATTAGAAAACCAGAAACTTAAAATTAAGACTATAGTCATAAAAAATGAAATATATATTTAAAATCAAATAGTTTTTTTTTTATATTTCTCTGTGGTATTGACGCTGTCTTTAATCATTGGTCAGCTTGATTTGATAGATGTAGAAAATCTGTTGCAGTTGCCAACGCGAAGTTCACTGCATATTACCGTCTAAAAGTAGTAAAGCGCACAGATGAGAGGGTTCGGATGATGGATGAAATAGTGCTGGGTATCCAGGTGATCAAATACTACGCTTGGGAGAAACCTTTCCAGGCCTTCATTGATCATGCGAGAATGTAAGTTGGATTATACATTTTCAGTTGTTGTGAGTTGAAGTAAAAGTGTTCAAGACTTTTCCCCCTTGATCTGCATTTAACATGTGTATATTTATTTATCATATGTTATTATTTCTTTCTGTTTACTTTTTCATTACATTGTTTTTATTGCTCAAGTCAACATGGTTTCTTTTTATAATTATAATTTTTCCATTTCCCAATCCAACATTTGGTCCTAATTCGCAGCCGGATGAAAACCTGGTAACTATATTCATTCCTTGTTACCCCATTTATAATCTAAATGTTCTACTCAGTTCCCTTACAGTCCACTATTAATTTATTGTTTTTGAAGTTTACCCGATTATAATCTTTTTGGACTCAGATCACGATATGAAATGAACTCTTTACTTACTTTAATACTATATTTTTGGTGCCAATCAATCAAACAAGCTCAAGTTTATTAACTTTTTGTGCACTTAATAGACTATACATTCCTCCTTTTAGTTAAAAACTTGATTGAAAGAAAATTATTATCTGTATCTTTGATGTACAATTCATTGTTTTGACTTCAAACTGAGATTTTGTGTTTACTCAAGACCTTTTTATATTGTGTGTGCTGTTGGTAAATTTTGTGTTCTACTACTTTAATGGCTCCTAAAACTTCTGATTTTAAGTCATCCACATACACTCGCTCAACATCTCTAATTAAAACTCGTTTTAATAAGCTTAAAGATACTGTTGATGAATACTCTACCTCAACGGAACAACTCACCCCTATTCAAATTAAACAACTAAATGCTCATTTAAATGAAATTCGTAAAAGAAAAGAAGAATTCGACAACAATGTGCAACGGGTCTTAGTCTTAGAAGAGGATCCTATCTCTGACGAGACATTGTCTCAAGACCTGGATGAAATTGAAAGTTTATTTTCTCATATCGTGGCTACTATTGAGTTCTTAATGTCCCATCCTGAACCTTCAAATTCTGCTATCTTAAGTGACTCTTCTTCCGTTTCTCTTCACCAAACACCGATTTCGCAAGCAGTACACCTTCCAAAATTGGATTTACAAAAATTCTCCGGTGACCCACTAACTTGGACAAGTTTTATAAATTTGTTTGATACTGCAATACACCACAACGCATCGCTTTCCAGTGTCATGAAATTTCAGTACCTCTTAAGTGTACTCAACGAAGAACCCCTCGACTTAGTCAAAAGTTTGAATCTTACTGAAGCTAACTATTTGGTTGCATATAATCTCCTCCGTGATAGATATCACAATGAACGCCGCTTACAATCTTTGCACCTCAATCACATTTTGGACCTTCCTACCATTAATGTATTTACTATAACAGGACTTCGCCATTTTGTAAATTGTTTCACTGAACACACGCAAGCTTTAAAAGCTTTGGAATGTGACATTACAAATAATAATCCCCTTCTCTCCGCACTGCTCCTGCGTAAGATGGATGCTGATTTACGCAAAAAGCTTGAAATGTTCCGGTCTTCAACCGAAAATCAGCCGAATTCTCACTCACTTCCCGAGGTCAAAGATATAATAAAATATCTGAACACTGAATGCTCTCAGGCTGAGGATGCAAATCTACACAGCGCTCCCACACTGAATAAAATTAATAACACTTTTGCTCATGCACCCAAAGACACTACACAAAAGCAAGTACAATTTCGCTCAAGAAACGTTGCTATGGCCACGACCCACACTTCCCCCCATCAGTCATCTCACTCAACAGGCATTAAAAAACCGACTCATTGGCAGTGTTTTGCATGTAACTCAAACGAACACAAGATCTATGCCTGCAGTGTGTTCCAAAATAAATCTCCGCATGAGCGACATAACCTCGTCAAAGAAAATCATCGCTGTGTCTCGTGTCTAGGCCATCATAACCTCAAAGATTGCCATTCACAAACTTCATGTCGTACATGTAACAAGAAACATCACACTTTGTTACATTTCCCTGCACCTCTTGTTGATCAAAATCATTTTAAGCCTGTCAATGCAAATGTGAGTTACCCACATGAGCCTACTCAAACCTCAATGACGTCAACTTCACAAGATCACTCTCAGCCACCTTTTAAAAGCTCCACTATACTCTTGGGAACTTTTTTGATAAAGGTCACTTCAGTTCAAGGCACATCTCATGTGTTCCGTGCCTTACTTGACTCCGGCTCCATGTGCGACTTAATCACCGAACGAGCAGCTCAACTTTTAAACGCTCGACGCTACAAGTCAAATGTTCAACTTTCTGGACTTGGCCAAAATGCAACTAAGAGTAATGGGCAAACTTACCTCAATCTTGAAACTCTTTCTGGATTTCTCATATCTCCGCAACATCCAATGCTCATTTTAGACAAATTGACTGACGACTTACCTCGTGTTCCAGTCTCTCCGGAAGTGTTATCGCTCACTAAACGGTTTTGTCTAGCTGATCCATCATTTCACCTGCCAGGACGCATTGATATCGTGCTTGGTTGCTCTCTCTTCCCTAAGTTACTAACTCATGAAAATTACTCTCTTGGCCAACATATGCCCCACGTAATAGGAACTCATTTTGGATACATCGTGATGGGTTCTGCACCCTGTGAAATACCAAGAAATTCCACACCAAATTTCATCAGTCACACCGTCTCCCTACATTCATCCAATGATGTTGACCTTCAGTCCTCACTTCAGCGATTCTGGACTCAGGAAGAACTTCCAAATCGTCAAAAGAAAACTGAAGAAGTACTCAGAACACAAACCTACGTTGACGACATCATCACTGGTGCGGATACTGAGGAAACGGCCTTGAAATTTCAAGATCAATTGGTCAACCTGTTACGAAGAGGAGGATTTGAATTACGTAAATGGGTCTCCAACTCTGATCGTCTTCTACAAGCTTTCCCCAAGGAGCATCTTGAGACTCCCGTCTTTCTCCAAGATTCTGAACAGCCACACTTCACAATACTTGGCCTACATTGGTCTCCCCACTCTGACTGCTTCACTTACAACCTTAACTTCCCTATGGACCCTCATCCATCAAAACGTTCGATCTTGAACATCATATCAAAAATCTACGATCCTTGTGGATTTCTCGCTCCCTGCATCATGCAAGCAAAATGTTTTATGCAGTTACTATGGACCACAGGCTTATCCTGGGATGATCCCCTGCCCACTAACCTCGCCGAAAAATGGCATTCATTCCTAATCGATATTCAATATTTATCTCAAATTTCTATTCCTCGAGCGTTACAGTTTTCCCTGTCATGCACCGTAGAATTACATGGCTTCCCAGATGCGTCAGAGAGTGGCTACGCTGCTGTCGTATATTTCCGCTGTCAGATGTCTAATGGTGACACCATCATTTGCCCAATAATCTCAAAGACTCGTGTCTCTCCTCTCAAAAGAGTAACTCTTACTCGCCTTGAGCTTTGTGCTGCTCATCTTCTCGCGCAATTAGTAGCACATTGTCATTCGCTCTTCTCAGATAAAATTGCCATAAAAAATATGTATCTATGGAGTGACTCCTCAATAGTCTTGACATGGTTACGGACTCCACCCTACAAACTCAAGACATATGTAGCCAACAGGGTTTCTCAAACTCAAGAACTTGTTCCCATCGACTCTTGGCGACACATATCAAGTACTGATAATCCTGCAGACTGTGCGTCAAGAGGAATTTCTGCTTCCCTACTTGTCAACCATCCGCTCTGGTGGACAGGCCCTCCTTGGCTTAAGCTCCCCAATTGTTATTGGCCTACCTCGCACTTCACTCCTGAGGACCTCTCTTCGTCAGAAGAAATCAAGAAGACACCTTTGGTTGTTCTTACATCGGCACCTCAAAAGGAGTGGGAACTTCTTTCTGCCTACTCATCGTGGAACAAACTCCAACGCATTGTCACTCTTCTTAACCGCTTCATCCACAATTGTCATCATCAAAATGACCGTCTCAGTGGTTCTTTCCCATCGTCTGAAATCTACAAAGCTTGTCTCAAGATATTTCAACATGTTCAACAAGCCACCTTTGCAGATGAAATAGTGTCCCTCCAAAAGAAGCTTGACTGTTCCACCAGACTACAACGTGAAACGCCATTTCTTGACTCTGGTTAAAGCACTTCGTTGCTTTAAGGCGGGCAGTATGTTCAAGACTTTTCCCCCTTGATCTGCATTTAACATGTGTATATTTATTTATCATATGTTAAAATTTCTTTCTGTTTACTTTTTCATTACATTGTTTTTATTGCTCAAGTCAACATGGTTTCTTTTTTATAATTATAATTTTTCCATTTCCCAATCCAACAAAAAGTGTATAAAATATTATTAGAAACATAAAATGTAAAATATAGATTTTGTTAAAATATTGTTATAAAATGTTATTAAGTCAGGGTCAACGCTGGGGTGGAGTCAGAAAGGATTTCAGAAAGGATTTTTGAGATAAGAATATGTATATATGTTAATCGTGAATGTGAGCTATCACCATACCAAATTTCTGCCCAATCCAACCAGTAGTTAATGCGTGATTGAACTTCAAACAAACAAACACACAAACTTTCACATCTATATATATAAAATCCAATTTATGTTTGTTTGTTTGTTTGTCCTTTATGGACTCCGAAACCGCTTAACAGATTGTAATGAAACTTTCAGGCATTTTTAAGCATTATTCAAGGATGGTTTGTGTGAAGTTTGGTGCAGATTCGTCAAAAGGGCTCCGCCCCAGTGGCTCTGGAGTTTCCCATTTTAACCTTATCAGTACTCATATTTAAATGGAATTCAAGATTCTTAACAGCTGGTTCAACTAAACAATTTGATTCTGTGATGTTCAATAGCATTAAAAAGTTAATAGGTTTACCAACAGGGTGCAGCACTTTTTTTTAATTCATGACAACAGCTAATTTGCAACCAAAAGGTGAGTGAGCATAGCTAACGAACTTCAACCTGGACGTGATTGAGCCATGCGAACGAGCTCATCTTGAAAATGAACGAGCACTTGACATAAAACCACATTAGGACAGGACGACGTCTGTCGGGCCAGCTAGTTTATAATATTATTAGTAAGATTCTGCACATCTACAGGCAAATATCTTTCTAAAGCCCCGTTGACACGGGGCGAGTTTACAAGCTACACGCCAGCGTATAAGAAGCCGGCGAGTTGGCGAGTGTGCTTGTATTCGTTCACACGGAGCTTGTCAACTCGCAGACGTGTAGAAAGACGCCAGCGAGTCGGTGAGTGCGCTTGTAGTCGTTCACACGATGCTTTTTCCACTCGCTCAGTAGCTGGCTTGAACCAAATCCTCCAACATCTTTGAGTAACAAGCACACAAGCACAAGCAACTGTGTTCACACTGGGCTACTTTACACGCCTACTCGCTCAAAAGCTGGTGAGTTGGCGTGTAAAGTAGCGGCAGCGTCAACTTTTTCCAGAGCTTTTTTACAAGCAGCTTTTGAGCGAGTACGTTGTTCACACTGAGCTATTTTACTAGCTGCGTGTAAAAAAGCCGGCGTGAAGCTTGTAAACTCGCCCCGTGTGAACGGGGCTTAACAGTATGCGTAGATTTTCCCTGCAATGCACAGAAGCTGAGAAAAAAGGTTTTGAATTAACATGCTTGTCTTTTAATATATAGAATTAACTCCAAATTAAATCTTCATAAGAAAAGTTGAATTTCCATTTTTGACCCAATTAACATAAATATTCTCAAAATACAAAATATAAAACCTGCACATATAGGACCTTATAACCTTTCTTTTGGTACAGCCCACATGTAATTCGGTCCAGTAATCAGGCTAGCTGTCATCAGTTTTGCAAAAGTTTTTAATATATAAGATGGATTCCAGTTGAGTGAAAGTGGCAGTACACCTCAGAGTTATCTTTTTAATGTTTAATATGTAAGAAAACAACTGGACCACAAACAGAATATATCTTTTGACTGGTTAGCCTTGATGATTCTCTGCAACTTGTTCTTACTTCGTGAGATTAAAATTGTAACCTTTTTAATTTGAGTAAACACCTTGATTACAGATACAATTTTCTAAACAGGTATTTTATATCCGCCTGTAGTCCGAATTACATCAACAAAGTACTGACCGCTTCCATTGTAAGACCAACATCAAAGTTTTGCAACACTTCAAAACCTAAAATTTAATTATTCAAATTCAAACTTGAGCATGTTCTGGCTCAAGCTTTTCTAATCCATCAGAAATTTTAGAAAACAACTAGTTTACAGGTAGATAATTTCTTTTTACAGGTTAGAATTGAAAATCCTCCGCAAGCTGTCCTTCCTTCGCCTGTGTTTCATGATCTTTTCCCTGTTTTCCCCTCGAGTCAGCTTGTTCTGTACATTGTTGGTTTTGGTTCTCAGTGATGCTGAAATAGATCCAAGCGCTGTAAGTATAGAAAAATAGTTGGAATTGTAGTTTTTTGTGACAAAATATTGCTATAAAATAAATGTCAACATTGTCCATGAAACGTTGTTCCTGAATCACTTATAACTATATACATTTTGATTTTACTTTAACCTTTAGGGTCAAAAGGCCGATATATTGAACATAATGAGTTACACAACCTAACATCCATTTACAAACTACATTGCCAGTATAACCAGTGACTTGGATGTAGAGCTGAACAAAAGCATCTCATACCTAACATATGTTTCAACTTGGGGTCAAGTTTAGAACTACCATGTTTGGGTATTTTGTTCACTAATGATACTAATGTTGGGTATAGCTAACAGCCAAGGTGTACAAAACATTGTCACTTTCCTTCAGGAAACAGCCCTTAACAATCATAAAAAGTATAATATATTTGTATATTCACTTGCTTGCACCTCTTCTATTGATACGTTTACTCTAATTATTTTGTCTATAATTTTAATATTTGATCAAATACACACATAAATATTTGTATTATCTTTTCTTTTACATGTCTTTGTCATGCTTATCTACTTCGTCCAACTCGCCAACAATTTGGGAGGTTTTGTCACTCGAGGATTTGAAGAAATTTATCAATGTTTGGTTTCCATTCATAGAATACAAGTAAGTGACAACAGTATGTTACTTTGTGAAATTAATTAGAATATTATACTGTTTTGCTTTATGATAAAAATTACAAAATAATAAGTATTTTCATTAGTAAAAAAATTGGCTGATATTACTTTGTTTTGTTACTTTTATTTTATCAGTATAAATACAATTTTTGCTCCACAATCATTAAAACAAAACACATTATTCTCTTATGATTAATTTAATACATTCAAAAGAGTCTGTAGTCTGTACTCCACTCACTAAATTTTGGCTGTTTGAGGGGAAGCGATTCCACCCCCTCCACTTCATTTTAACTTTGAAAAAACAACTGACAGCTAATCAGCTGATATATTAAGCTAAAGAAGTGATGGGGGAAACCCAGGTAACATTCCGCTTACACCGCCTATTAGATATACAAATAATACAAAATATATGAACACAACTCTTGATACATGTTTATTTCTTAATAATAAATGTAAACATTGAATTATTTTCAATATGAAATTATTCCAGTCATATGATCAATATTAAATAAAAGATAGATTATTTGGAATATATAACAATTCCTCCCTACTTATTTAAGAGAATGTTCATTTACAAGTTCATCCTTTTAATTGGTTTTCTTATTCTCAATGAGCGGCGAATTTTAGGGACAGGAACATCTGGTTGTGAGTTTGCTTTGGACACTTCAGCGTCTTGTTGTGTACTTGGCTCTTCGGCCTCTTGTCGGCTGCTTGTACGATGGATTGTACTTGACGCTTCATTGTTATGTATAGGGCTTTTTTCCTCAATATTAGGCATAGTGCTTGCTGTAGGACCCGATGTTTCAGTGTCTATAGTTCCTTCCCAGCTTGGGGTGTTACTTGAGACATTTTCTGTATCTTGTGACTTTTCTGAATTGCTTATTGATTTCCTTAACATACCGTACCTTGTATTTCCCATGAATATAGGTTGTCTTGAACAATTTTGATTGGTATTTTGGAATATTAAAGTTCGATTAGTTTGCTTTGGCTTACTTGGCTTAGTGGTACTTTGGCTTTTGGGTCGCATCGGTTGTTTGAACTTTATTGCCTTGTTTGTGTCAATGAGCTAGGTAGAGGGCTTTTGTAATGAGTAGAATCTTTTGGCACTTGACAAGCTCGAAGTTGATTGAAGTGGCGTTTTATTACATACCCATCATCAATTTCTACGAGATAGTGAAGTCGTCCGAGTCTTTCCACCACAGTTCCAAATTTCCACAGAATGGATCCTGCGTAATTTCTTGATTGTACTCTCTCCCCAATATTGTAATGTTTGTTAAATATTGGTTGTTGAGCCTCATTTTTGTCATCTTCGCCAGGCCTTAAGAGATCTAGCTTGGTTCTCAAGTTCCTGCCAAACATTAATTGTGCTGGGGATGCACCAGTACTCAGTGGTGTAGCTCGGTACCGAAATAATAGTGCACATAGTTTTTCATGTAAAGTGCCCTGTTCAAACTGCATGCACCTCAGTTTTGTCTTGAGTGTTTGGCAAAATCTTTCCGCTTGACCATTTGTAGAGGGGTTTCCTGGTGCAATGAATCGTTGTCTTATTCCTTGGCGTTTACAGAATGCTTGAAACTCTGCAGATTTAAAAATTGTGGCATTGTCACTGACCAATATTTCTGGTAGGCCATGGTGACTGAATATTTCTCTGAGGTAATGAATAGTACTGGCAGTTGTTGGCGCACTTTTTATCGGATATATTTCTGGCCACTTTGACCTGGCATCTACAACAATCAAGAAGTTGTGATTCAGAAAAGGTCCTGCGTAATCCATGTGGACTCGCTGCCAATTGCGTTTTGGTATTTCCCAAACATGGGTAGGAGCCTTCTCTGGATTTTTCTTATTCTCACAACATGCCTTACAACTTGCCACCATACTCTCAATATCTGTATCAATGTTTTTCCAGTAACAGTAGTTTCTTGCCAGACTCTTCATCCGCACTATTCCTACGTGTGTTGAGTGTAATTCTTGGAGGATTTTAGGTTGTAGCTTTTTTGGAATGATAACACGATTTCCTCTAAAAATAATTCCGTCTTGAAGTGATATTTCTGGGTCAGCGACTTCTCCGTTTAGGAGCTTTTCCTTTAAGCGAGAGAGTTCTTCGTCAAGTGATGTTTCTTTTTCTATGTCTTTAGCCATGATTGTATCGGTTGCTATGCAGTGTATTGTCTCTCTTCGAACAGTGTAATCTTCGTCAACCACATTTATATTCTCTTCTTTTATTGGCAAGGGATGTCTTGAGAGGTAATCTGCATTACAGTGGTCGTTTGATTTTTTATGTACGATCTCATAATCAAATCCTGAAAGAAAATGAGCATATCTAAGCATCCTGGATGAAGTCAACAATGGTAGTTTCTTGTCTGGATGAAATATGGTCATCAGTGGTTTGTTGTCAATGGCAAGAGTAAACTTCCTTCCGTATATATAATCGAACATTTTTTTACACCCCCAATATACAGCAGTTGCTTCTCTGTCCAATTGGCTATAGTTGCGCTCTGCAGCAGTGAGGGATCTGCTGGCAAATACAATAGGCCTCTCTTCATTATTTGGCATTTTATGAGACAGCACAGCTGATAAGCCAACAGGGCTAGCATCTGTAGCAAGTATCACGGGTAAGTCTGGGTTGTATGGAGTAAGGACTGTGTCACTTGCTATCTCTTCTTTAACACAATTAAAAGCTTTTTCACATTCCTGGGACCAGTGAAAACGTTTTTCTTTCCTTAGAAGCTGATGTAAGGGATTTAGCAGTGTAGATGCATCTTTGATGAACTTTGAATAGTACTGTACTAGTCCAAGGAATTGACGCACTCCTGTGATATTTGTTGGACGGGGAGCATCCTGGATTGCCCTCACCTTTTCTGGTGATTTCTGGATACCGTCTTTGCTGATGATATGACCCAGATACTGCACCTTTCTCTCAAAAAACTTGCATTTTTCAACATTCACATGTAGATTGTGTTGTTCCAATTTTTCTAAGACCTTTATGAGCCTGGATTTGCATTCTTCAAAAGTGCAGCCTTGTACAACAATATCATCAAAATAAGCCACTGTCCCTTCAAGATTTTGTACGACTTGGTCAATAAATTTATGAAATTCATTTGGGGCAGTCTTAATTCCGAAAAACAGTCTTTTTGCTAGATATGTACCCTTATGTGTGGTAATTGTCTGGATCTTAGAACTTTCAGAGTCCACTGAAAGATGTAAATAAGCCTTGTAAATGTCTAAAGTGCAAAAATAGTTTCCATTTCTCATTTTGTTAAGGATATCCTCTATTCTTGGTATTGGATAACGACTGTCATGTAGTTGTTGGTTCACAGTTACCTTGTAATCCGCGCAAATACGGACCGCTCCATTTGCTTTTGGAATCACAACAATCGGTGTTCCCCACTCAGATTGATCCACTTTCTCTATTACGTCTTCTTTTTCAAGTTTTTTCAGTTCATTCTCAACAGCTTCTCGAAGAGCATGAGGTACTGGTCTGGGTTTTAAGTACACAGGTCTTGAATTATCCTTTAGTTTTAAAGAGCATGTAAAGTTGGGTGTTTTACCAATGCATTGTTAAAAAACGCTTGAGAATCTTTGCTTGATAGATTTGACAATAGTGTTGGTATCAACCTCTGGTTTCTTCATATTAACAAGATTAATATTGTGTAAGTTAATTTTCAATTTTCGAATCCAATCCCTTCCAAGAATAGCGTTTTTAGGTAGATTTACAATGTATAGATCCTCTCTGCAAGATCTCCCTTCGTAAGATATGCTTAGGGTACAGACCCCGATTGGTTTGAAAATTTGTCCAGTATAAGATCGAAAAAGAGCACTTGTTTTGCAAACTGGAACATGTAAGTCTAGTTTCTTGAAGTCATCATTATTTATTATGCTTACACGACTTCCGGAATCACACTCAAAACGTTGCTGTTTACCATTTAGAGATACGTTAATCATCATTCTGTCATCTCCTTCGTCATTCTTCAATACATTTATGATCCGTTGAACGTCGTATTCATATTCAGAATCAATTTCATCAACTCTTTTTACATTTTTCTCTGAAGACTGTAATTCCTGTATTCGTTTCGCTATGCAAACCTTTTCTATGTGTCCATCTTTATGACAATACCTGCAATTTAGTTCATCTATTAATCGGCAATTTTGTGTTTCGTGGTTATTCCTTCCACAGTGCAAACAGACATCTAAAAGTCCAAGTCTTTGTAGCCTTTTGTTTTTCCTGTCTTTCTTTTTGCTTGAGTCATTAAAGAAATGGTTTTTGGTTGAGAAACTTTTATTCTTAGGGCCGATATTGTTCTTTGTTGTTTTACTTATTTTGTGAATGTCATTCTGGTTATTACTAGTATATAAAATCTGGTTGTCAAGTTTTGATGCCTCTATAGCCAAGGCGATTTCTAAGGCTTTGTCAAATGATATTTCCCCCAGTTGTAAGAGTTTTTTCTCTGATGTCCGAGTCATATAAGCCTCTGATGAATTGAGCCCTGAGCATGAGGTTTATAACTGATTTTGTACATTTTCCTTCTTTACACCCAGATTTGAAATCTGCTGAACAAGCCAGTTGTTTGAGGACTGTGACATAATTTGTGATTGATTCATTTCCATCTTGTAAACGGGATAAGAATTTGTGCTGTTCTGTAAGTATGTTCTTCTTTGGGCTTAGGTGCTCATATAGTAATATAAGTAATTCTTGATATGTTTTTGAGTCTGGTTTGTCTGGAGATGTTAGACTACAGATCAGATTGTAGTGCTTAGCACCTAAGCAATTGATTAAAAATAAACCTTTCAATTGTTCAGTCTCTGAATCATTGTCTGTCAATCCTTTTATTTTAAAAAATATTTCTAAACGCTGAGTGTAGCTTTCAAACGTTTCCTTACTTTCATCATAAGCATCAAACATCAAGGCATTGCTCTGTAGTAGTTCCTTGGTACTATGTTTTGATCTAGGCTGTTCTGTCTGTTGACTTGTATGTTGTGTCATTAATGTCATAAAACTGTTCAAAGTAGATATAAGGTCTTGTATTTCAGTCATTTTCTTCCTCGTCGCCAAATTATTAGATATACAAATAATACAAAATATATGAACACAACTCTTGATACATGTTTATTTCTTAATAATAAATGTAAACATTGAATTATTTTCAATATGAAATTATTCCAGTCATATGATCAATATTAAATAAAAGATAGATTATTTGGAATATATAACAACGCCTAAATTTTGTGAATGGACTATAGTTTTCTAAACAGGGTTTTGTTCAAAACCTAACCCTATTTCAAAGATTTTTTAAAACAGAACCTTAATGTGTATAATTTTTCCACCAACCTATGTAAGAACACAAATTTAACATATGGATCTAAAATAGTGTCATAAGTCAAAACAATTCCTAATTCACAGTACAGTTTGATTGATAATTCTGCTTTCATATTTATACTGTTAATACTGTTCTGTTAATACTGTATATTTGATCTGAAAGTGTATATGTTTACACCACAGTTTTGTAATCTCAACAATTTCAGGAGTTTCTTCTTCTTGATGAGTACAGACCAGTGGTGTCAACAAACATGCAAAAAGCCAAAAATGAAAATAGAGGAGGTATGGAGAATGGAGGAGTGTTGGTAGAGGGAGAGTGGCGAGGATCCATCGTAACTCTTGAGGGAGTCTCCGCTAAGTGGACCAAGAACGGAGATATGACACTGACCAACCTCAACCTGGACATTCAGGCTGGTCAGCTGGTGGCTGTCATAGGTCCTGTAGGTTCTGGCAAGGTTAGTAAACTGCTGATATCAGGTATATAAAATATAAATCACACTTGAGGAGGTGTCTACTAAGTGGACTAAAAACGGATAGATTTAACAACTTAAATTCAAATTCCATATTCTACATTAACCCTTCTGTCTATCAACACTAAAAAAAACACTTTGTCTAGATAATGTACCTAGGTTTATAATTGTTGATTCAGAGCTCCATGTTGAACCTGCTACTCGGAGAGCTGATCAAGAAGGAAGGCAAGTTCAAGGTCCAAGGTGTAGTGTCCTACGCAGCTCAGGAACCCTGGATATTCAGCAGCTCCGTCCGACAGAACATCTTGTTCCACGAAGACTACAACTCTTCGAGGTACAAAGCTGTGAGTATGACATACATGAGGGAGTCTGGTAGTTTTAGTTTGTCTTGAAACAATCTTGAGTGCCACTCTGGTCTGAGTTGCTGAGTAGTGCTCGCCTTCAAATCTGAAGGTTGCTGCCAACTCGCTGGTTTGATTCCAGGCAAGATCTGTACCGGACCCAGAAGCCATTTGTCATGGGGTTTTCAATTAATGATGTTATGGTAAAATCCTCACACAATGTTTATTTTATGTCCAGCAAAACCTAGAGTGTCAATGTTGACTAAATTTCCCTTCACTTGAAATGGGACTTTCCTACTATTTTCCAGTCAATAAGCAAATAACCATAATTTAATTTCAAATGTTAATTTTGGTAAAGAGGACATGCGCATGCAATTTAAATTTAATATAGGCTATGAGATGAATGTTACTATAGGTGTGCAAGGTGTGTCAGCTAGAGAGAGATTTTGAACTTCTCCCAAGAGGAGACAAAACTCTGGTGGGAGAGAAGGGTGCGTCTCTCTCAGGAGGTCAGAAGGCAAGGATCAGCTTGGCAAGGTGAGAGTCTAAAATAGTTTAATTAAGTGCATTATGATTTTAAATTCCATTTTTACAGACCAAAAGTAGTTGATTCTTTCAAAAGAGGGGGGTTGTTGAATTGAACTAGACGAGTGTTCTACAATCAAGATTTTATTTTCTCCGTAAGCTTTAGAAAATTTTCCCCAAGGGAAGAAGGTATTATAATAGGTGGCATAGTAAAATCTAAATCCATGTCTCCTTTTTTCATTTTTATCTCCCCAGAGGCCAAAAACACTACTCGTTCAAATGTTTATATATAAGCCAACATGTGTTGGTAATTACAATAATTAGAGCAATTGTAGTCTGATTTTGATGAAATGTAGCATAATTGTGTGTGCAAGGCTGAAACTTGTGAAACTCAAATTTATTTATTTATTTACACCTCTTTTACCTTGCATTTGCCCGTCTAAATGGGTCACAGAGTTCTGTGCGTGTGGAACGTATCCTGCAATGCAAGTAGGGAGCCATATTACAGTACAAAGGTGAAAAGCTAAACAAACTTTGCTGATAAAATGTAGTGGCAGGTACCAGGATCCGAACCCACTACATGACTACCTTGAGCCTAAAGTTCGTGGTACTACCACTCGTTAAGTATAATCTGGTCCAACAATTTGGTCCAGTGGTTATTGTGTGATGGAAAACATACAGAAACCTAATATTTCAATTGGTACAGATGTAAACTTCAGTATACGTTACAGGTGTAATTACAGTTTGTTGGTTGTTTTTTGATTGATATTAATGCTTTAGTATTTTTTAGGGCTGTATACAAGAAAGCTGATATCTACCTTCTGGACGACCCTCTATCAGCAGTTGATTCTCATGTCAGCAAACATCTGTTTTATCATTGCATTGAAGGTTGGTCAGCAATACATGCCAATTTAGAATTAGTTACTTGTACCTTTTGGGTATTTACTCAGGGGAGGTATAGAAGAGGCTACGATGACAGCTGTGGGCTTCTTATTAGCTGAGGGAACGACATTACCGTAAGAAAACTGTCAGTAGCCATCAGCCTCGGTGGTCTAATGGTTAGCGTGCCGGGCTGGTATACTTTAGGTCCCGGGTTCGAATCCTGCTGGTAGCATTAACTTTTTGTCCAAGATTTTTTTATTATCAGCAAGTTTGGTTGGTTTGGTTCGGTTATTACAGTTTAATTTTATTATTAAGTCATTACAAAATTTTAATTGAGCGAATTCTAGTTTTATTTAATAAACAGAATTATTTTTCCGATTACTAAACTTTTGTTATATTATTTCTTTATCAGCAAGTTTGGTTAGTTCGGTTAGGTTATGATAGTTTAATTTTATAATTAAAAAATAATAAAATTGAATTTGAGACATTTATAATTTTATTTTATGAACAGAACTATTTTTGCGATAACCTTCATTGCCAAAGTGCTCTCTACTACAGCGCTGTTCACGGAGGAATTTTGAACTAAATGCCTCATTCGTACCTCCCCTAAGTCAGACCCATTTAACTGTTACTGTAGGTATTTTGTACAGGTGGTTTCCGGTGAAGTGCTGGATATATAGTATAAAAATTATTTATACTAGAGGACGTCCAGTGGTCAAAAACTCGACCACAAATATGTAATGTACAGACTTCTCTATTTTTACCCCAGTTGTAAATAAAACATGTGATTGGAATTTCTTCCATTTGTTTTGATTTTCTGTTTATATTTTGTCACCAGCATGGCAACCCATAAAGCCTGTGTAAATTTTTAAAAATTTTAATTCATTTTTTCTGCTTATTTTTTAGACTATTTTATTTTATAAAAGGATTGTGTACATCTACAGGGAAATGTCTTTCTAACAGTATGCATAGATTTTCCCTGCGATACACATGAGCTGAGAAAAAGGGTTTTCAAGAAGCATGCTTGCCTATTAATATATGGGATTAGAATAGGTTACCTTTGTTGTTGTTGCCTGTGTTCTTGAGTAGGTAGGATGTTTGTTTCAGCCTATGCATTTCACCAGCTTGTGTGGCATCGTCAGGGGTCTTCTTGTTAATCATCTTCTTGAAAGAAGACCCCCTTGTAGTCCATTAAAATTTTACCAAAAAATTGCTTTATTAGGTTCTCTGTAGCAGCGAACCTAAGCACTAGGAATAAATTTGATACTCTTAAGGAAATATTTGTATTAAAATCAAATCAGCCAAATAGAGTCTGCAGGTTTGCTGCAGCAAGGGTATTTCCAAAACATATTGTATTTCAAAATAATTTCTAGAAGAAATTCCACAAAATCCCTAACTTGAGGACTGTGAATGAGGCACATGTGATGTTACAAATTTAGGACGACACAAATTAATGAGTTAAGACAAGACTGGATGTACAAAGCATCTGGGTTGAAAACTGTTAACAATACATCGTTATAGGGGGAAAAAAATTTATAGATTGCTTCACTTCTCTCAAATTTATATAATACCAGCTGTAACTCGCGGGCTTTGCCCCGTTTAACTTCTTAATTTTTTAGATTATCTCGTTCGCATGGCTCAATCACGTTCTGGTTGGAGCTCGTTCGCTACGCTCACTCACCTTTAGGTTGGAGCTCGTTCGCTGCGCTCACTTGCCTTCAGGTTAGCTCGTTCGCTACGCTAACTCGCCTCCAGGTTGAAGTTCGTTCGCTACGCTCACTCACCTTTTGGTTGCAAATTAGCTGTTGTCATGAATGTAAAAGGAATAATAGTGCTGCACCCTGTTGGTAATCCTTGTAACTTTAATGCTATTGAACATCATAGAACAGAACCAACTTGTTTAATTGAAACAGCTGTTAAGATTCAATAATTCCATTTCTCATAAGGTTAACATGGGAAACTCCAGAGCCACTGGGGCGGAGCCCGAAAGGATTTTTGAAATAAGAATATGCCTATATGTTAATCGGGAATGTGAGCTATCATCATGCCAAATTTCAGCCCAATCCGACCAGTATTTTTCGCGTTCACTTGTCACAAACATACATCCATACATCCATCCATACATCCAAACTTTCTCATTTATAATATTAGTAGGATTTTTTAGAGTAGTTATTTCACTCAGGGTGAAAATAAATATCTTGGCAAGATTTACAGAATCACCTTTTCTTTTTTGGCTGTTAATTTTATCAAATGCCACTGATTAGGGAAAGTTTTTTTATGTTTCATTATGTTAACAGAGTTTCTCGGTGATAAGACCAGAATCTTGGTCACTCATCAAGTACAGCATCTTTCAAAAGTGAACCATCTCATACTAATGGACAGTGTAAGTTGAAAAGTCAGTATTGTTTAGTTGATATTGTTGCTTTGTTACTTTACCTGCTCATCAAATCAAATAATTCTTTATTCGTTATACATAAAATAACATGTATTGAATAGAGTCAAATATAGGCTACATACATATACAAATATTACAAAGTGTTATATATTATGACTTACTGCCAAGAAAATTATCTTTAAAAAGTGAACAATTTCTAACTTAATATTTAAACAGAAATATAACATTATTGCAATCACAATAACATGAGCATGGTTATTTCATTGACTCTAAAATTTATCGTATTCTTAAAATTCAGATAATTTTAATTTTGTTACTTTAAAGAACTTGAAGAAATTTGTTCTTATTATCAGAGCCATAGGGCCCGAGACACTCGTCTTAACTCCTATGCTGCGACGCCCGCAAGCATTTTGATTAGGGGTGCGATATTGACCTCTGGTTTGCGCCATTCAATTTCTCTTGATAAACCCTTTAAAATGAGGGGTCACATGATAGGTGTTATATTTGAAAATTTGGGGCTGCCCCCAAAATACCCCATTTTAGGGGCTGGGGCAAAGTTGTAACTTTGATGAAAAAGTTCAATTTCTTATTTTGTAAATATGTGTTGAGTTTTTTTTTCCTACTGCAACGCGTTAAAAAGTTAACTGGGGGGTTCCAGACTTTTGCCTAACCCTGTATTTTAGTCATTGTTAGTTTGTTTTCACCTAAGTTCCTTCATTTTAATTTTTTGGTATCCAAAGAAAATGGGCTTTTGAACTGAAATAGTCAAAACAAATGCTGATAGAAGTATTCTATTTAATCTATTTTGAAGGGCAGAATATTGGCACAAGGAACGTTTAAGGAATTGAGACGCAGCAGGCACAACTTCGCCTCCGTCTTGACCACTCCTGAGCTGGAGAAAGGACCCTTCCAGTTCCTCGGTGTCGAGCCTTCGCTTCAGAGAAATGTGCAGCGGAGATCCACAAGGGTGAGTGAAACAAAGATTGTGGATACTACATACATTCATGGTCTATACCACATACAGGGTTATACAATAAGTTCATACCTCTCTTATCTGAAACTATATACTCTTTTATAATTAATCAATCTACCACGATATTATTTTGTTAAAGCACTATTGCAGATATTTTCCATCCCAATTAGTAAAACACAAAGTGAAAACTTGTCCTCATGGGAGACATTACCAAAAACACAACATTAGTACACAAACCCAGCCAAAGATGGATAATCACAAAAAAGCGACAGAGATAACTAAATAGCAGCACGGACGCCTCATAGTAGTAAAAAAACAAGAAACGAAAAATGCTGAAAGAAAACAGAAATTAGTACTGTAGAGGGTTGTGACCACAATGGACAAGTCTGAACAATATGGTAGCTGAAGTGATGATCCTGCTCAGCAAATGACCGAAGCGATGGCAATGGAAAATGAAGTATACCGGTACTTATTTGTCATTTGTCAGCCTGGTGAGAACAACAGACTGTATATAACTTTTCTCTCCACTTTTATTTACACTGTAATGAAGTAGATTTGTTTGTTATCTTTTTAACATGTGAATTTTAAAATTAATGTAAAATAATTGTGAGTGACGTACTATATGTATCAGATTTGACAGGAGAAAATAATAACAATATTTTTTTCTCTTCTAAATGGTGTCCACCTAAAGATCTGAAACAATGTTGAGATTTGTTTTTTACTCATTGTGATGAAAAACGTACTTAATAATCCCTGAAGTAACATAAACTCGTCAAAAATGGACTTTATATTTTTAACAACGATATTCTATATATTTATTTTTCCCATAGTTTATCATACAAGTTTAATCAAACTTTTTTACTTTTACCATTTAGAGTGAGCGGTCTATAAACGTCGCTGGAGACGAAGTGGTTGAGTTTGAAGAGTTTGAAAATGACCGAGAAGCTGAGCAGATCTCTCACACGCCAGCAACCCAGGTGTACCAACAGTATCTGCGAGCTGGTGTCAGCCCTGCGTACTGCTGCGTAGTGGCATCACTGTTCATACTCACTCAGCTCACTGTCAGCGGGTTTGACTACTGGGTGGCTTACTGGTTTGTAGACTATGTGAAACTGATTGGTTTTTGGTTGATTTTTTACTGTAGGGCCTTGATAAGAAATGTGAAGAGGTGCTCTTCTTGTTGAGTGTCGTGTCTGATCATTTTTATTAGCAGTTGTATTATCAAGGCTAATGAAAGCACTGAACATCATTATCGTAAGTCACGGGTCCACAGTAGTAGAAGTAATAAATCCCCCCGCTATGTCAGGCAACGCCGATAGGTAACAGCTAGTGGTTTATAAATTGTTCCTTAAGGTGAACTAAAATCTTTGATACCACCAATTATTGTATTCTACTGTAATGGCAATATTTTGTTTCCAGGCTGCACAGGGAGGAAGATCGGTTGGTTGATCCTGAATCTTCTGAACTCTGGCCTACAACTACTTACTTAGCTATACTTGGGTGTTTTCTCATGTGGTAAGACTAGGCAAGAAATTGAGTCGAGAACAAATATCAGGCATGACTGAATATGTCCTTGTTAAATGACTTAATGACAAACTGTACATGGTGAAAAATATGGTTACTTTGGGATAAAAACATGAAAATGTAGCAGGCTTTTGTTTTGTGCTTGGATATTGATCGTTGTTCAACATTTGTACCACTACTACTTACAATCCTCCAAATCCTGTAATTACACATAACGTTTAAATATAACAAAGCTGTTTCCATGTCACCCTTTAACCTTCATACTATTCACTGAGGGTATATCTGTGCGGATAAAATCTGATATGTTTATTTGCAGTATTGCTGTTGTGGGAAGCCTGAGAGGTCTTGCTTATTATGAAGGATGCATCAGATCATCCAGAGGCGTTCACACTCAAATGTTCCGGTCTTTGATCAAAACATCGTTGAGTTTCTTTCACAATAACCCATCTGGTAATTCTATGTTTTGTTAAACTCAACTAGCTGTTGTATTCATTAAAAAAAACCCATATTAGTCTACAGTAATTTTTAGAAAACCATTTTTTACAATTAATGTTTAGTTTGGGCATCTAAATGGAATTTAATCAATTTCTCTGGCCCAGAACAAGTGTTGTGAAATGTGTATGTTTATATTTTGTATGTTAATTGTAACCAAAAACATTTCAGGCCGTATTCTGAACCGCTTCTCCAGAGATTTAGGAGCCGCTGATGAGCTTATGGCCAAGGCAGTGATGGATATGGGACAGGTATGCTATTTTGTAATTTTTATATACCTACTAGCAGAGTACCCGTCCTTCGAACGGGGTTGGCGTATGCGCATAAAATACTTATTGCAGTTATTCTTGTGCTTTGCGTTTGCAATGGGAGAGAACACGGTTAAAAAAATGTTGTTCTTTTAATTTACGGTACGGTATTCTATAGTATAGCACATCTACCATAGACATAATATTCTACCACTGCACCTAAACAATAGGAACAATTAAAGTTCTCGCAGTTTTTTGTTGCTGCTTGGTTCAAATTAGCTGTTGTCATACTGTAAATGCAAAAAAATGTAAGTGCTGCACCCTGTTGGTAAACCTTTATAACTTAACCTAAACCTAACTTTTCAAAACTTTTTAATGCTATTTCATAGAACCAACTTGTCTAGTTGAAACAGCTGTAAAAATTCTTTAATTCCTTTTAAATATGAATAGGTACTCATAAGGTTAACATGGGGAACTTTAGAGCCACTGGAGCAGAGCCCGCAAGGATTTTTGAGATAGGAATAGGCTTATGTTAATCGGGAATGTGAGCTATCATCATACCAAATATCAACCCAATCCAACCAGTAGTTAATGCGTGATTGAACTTCAAACAAACAAACAAACACACAATCTTTCAATATTAGTATGAAGTATGATGAATACCAATTACCTTTCCAACATATTATATTGGCTATAGTAAACTCTGTATTAGTGATGTGATGTGTCAATCAATACTACTTTTTTACAGTCGGTACCTGTACCAATTTTCAACCAACCAAAATGTTTGGTTCGGTTTTCACTGCCGGTACCGTCGGTAACTAAATACTTATTCTTTCAACGTTTTTAAGCTGCAAACGTTAATATCTTTTTATGACATACTAGCAGAGTACCCGTCCTTCGTACGGGGTTGGCATATAAGTTTAAAATGCTTATTGCAGTTATACTCAAGCTTTACGTTTGCAATGGGGGAGGACATAGTTTGATAAAATTTGCTTCTTTAAATTTACGGTATACTATGGTATTACACGTCTAACATAGCCATAATGTTCTACCACTTCACCTAAACAATAAAGAAAAATAAATTATTAAAAATTTGCAAAAAATCACAAATTATTCATGACAATAAAAACATAAACATAACTGTAAAGAATCCTACTTTGACAGTTTTCATTGCATATCACAGTTTTTAGTTGCTGCTTAGTTCAAATTAGCTTTTTACATAAATGCAAAGGAAATTATAGTGCTGCACCCTGTTGGTAAATCTTATAACTTTTTAATGATTTTGCATATCATAGAACCAGCATTTTTAGTTGAAACAGCTGACTAAATTCTTTAATTCCCTTTAAATATGAATACTCATAAGGTTAACATGGGGAACTACAGAGCCACTGGCGCGGAGACCGAAAGGATTTTTGAGATAAGAATATGCCTATATGTTAATCGGGAATGTGAGCTATCATCAAGCCAAATTTCAGCCCAATCTGTCCTGTGGTTTATGCGTGATTGAACTTCAAACAAACAAACAAACAAACAAACAAACAAACAAACAAACACACAAACTTTCACATTTATAATATTAGTAAGATTCATATTGTTGGATGACAAAATGAACTGGTTACTTACAAATAGCTATCTAATTTGTGGTTTATGCTTATATTAATGATCACAATTTAAGAATTGGGAACAGATAAGATATATACGTACAAAATTGACTTTAGGTAAGAGGTTTGAACTTTGTCGAGATCCTTCAAGTAAGGTCTCTCAATTTTTGTGATGAATGAAGCACAATTAGTGGAACACTTAAGCTCTTTGTGTAAGAAGAATAGTAGTGCTCATGCATTCAGCACTAATCATTCCCACCTGTAATTACATTCTCTGGGTCGCCATCTATAAAAATATAATCTAATCTAATCTATAGTTTAATCTAATCCATCTAGCTAGTGTAGTGTATCTAAGTTCTAATCCCTTCCTTTGTTTGAAGGCGTTTGCTCAAGTTGCTGGAGCCTTGTTAATCGCTATATCAGTCAACTTTTGGCTCAGCATCCCCATAACAATCCTGACATGTGTTTTGTGGACAGCTCGCAACATCTGCCTCAACGCTTCCAAGAAACTCAAGCGAATAGAGGGCATCAGTAAGTTAAAGTACCCTAGTAGACGGTGTGGAGTGTTTATTGTGTAAATATCAAATCAAATCATTTCTTGAAACAATACATTACATAAATTGCTCACAGCAGTGACTTATGTTTAAATTTATAAATGCAGTTAAAACCATTGACTCTTGGATAGGTACAAGTAGACATCCCATCTGTATGGATCAGCTGTAGCCAAGAGTGTGCTCCTGTGTAACATTTTATTTCTCCTCTAGTTTTTGTCGATGTAACATAAATGATACCATGGTTTAAAATAAAGTTTCCTTTCCTTGGTTTTATAAATTACCATATCGAACAGAAACCAGTCATTTAAATCAAGCACATTGAACACTCTGACCACTCTGTCGATGGTTTAATTCATTAACTCTTAAACTGGCCTCACCTTTAATGTGGGTGTGGAATGTATAACTCTGTCCATATTCAAAAGTTAACACATTATAATAATACAACAAATAAAGATTAAAATATCACAAAGTTTGTTACGTAACTTGGAAAGTAAAGTTTATTTTGTTGTTTCTAAGAACTTGGATCGTTCTAGTTGAGTTTTGTGGATTAAAGTTTATATACGTAGGTATTGGTTGTAACATCCTTCTTTTAGCGAATTTTCCTTATATAGGGAATAAGCTATTACTGTAGGTGCCATTGTAAGACTAGGGCCTGGGATTGATTTACTTTTTGTTTTGATGTCCCCAGTGGCCAAAGACACCAATCGTTTGAATTTAAATATTATATATATTATCAAATTTATTATAAATTATCAACATATTAAAAATCAAGAGTGAAAATGTAGTTTTTTACATTGTTACACTATAAGGGTGGCTCATTAATCTAGTTTAGTTTTGAATGAAAAATGTTAACCAAAGTACTATATACATATTTCAGATGGATCAGGGATATTTTTCCAGTATTGAAGTATTGAGTTAAATAATAACAATGTTAATGATTTTGTAGTCATGGTAATTAGTTAATTTCATTTAATCATTTCAAAATGGATATTGTGCAGCGTTACATAGTTCACGTAGCTTGTTCTACATTTATATTATTCAAACTCTACATGAATATTGCAATCCCTTTCTTTTTGGGCTATGGTGCTGCTGCTTACATCCTTCGTTAATTAGAACCACCAACTATTTTCAAGACTTCAAATTTGCTCTTCAAAATTGTAAATGAATAAGGAAATTTGAATGTACTAGAAAAGAGAGGACAATCCAGTAAAGCAGAGGCCAATCACACGAATCCCACAAAGTAGAAGTACCTGTATTGAAGATAAGAAGGGGTCTGAGCACGAGTTAAGGAACAAGGAAACTTTAAAGAAGCAAGGACAATCAAGGGGATATGGCAGTGAAATTATGAAAATTTTTCCAAAAAAGTTTTTTTTTTAATTTGGTTTTTATTTGTTATTCATAATGCTGAAAATAAGAAAAATTTGTCAAAAATAAAAAATAATTTTTTTTCAGTGCTTAGGCCATATTTACAAAATATGGAAAATAGTTTTGAAAAATCCGGTCGATGACTTATTTCAATAATAATAATAATTATTATTATTATTATTAATAATATAATAATGAAGTAATAATTACATAATAACATAATAAATAATAATAAAATGCTTGCATGAACAAATACATTGATCCATAACTCAATAATAAGTAAAACTACCAAGTATAACTTTTAAATCAGATTTTTAATAATTTTTACTGCTAAATCTGATATATAATATATATTATCTTCAAAACGGTTTATGCTACATGATTCAAATTTTTACGAACTGTTATGAATGTTATTATCTAAATAATTAGGTAGAATTGTAAATGTATGTCTATTCTAAAGTGTAAAAATATTTTTTTATTTCCATAGAAAACCATTTTTTTTAATTACAAAATGACCCATAAAAAGTAATAAATCAAGATACAGTTATAATTCTATACCTAAATATTTAGAGGGCATTATTCTCAGGAAACTGATAGTAATAATTAAAATCCAATAATTAGAACTGAAGTTACATCAAATTTAGTTAATTACCTAAAGAAAAGAACATAAAAAATATTAAGGGTGTACTTAACTAAAAAATTTACTTTTAGCATTTTTTTTTATTATTTTCCATGTCCAAATTGTATTGTTACTAATTATATTAAAGTAAAAAGTGTTTTGTTTTTTATTCTAATTCCACTCCAAGTGCAGCCATTTGTCTTTAGGATTTAAATTAAAGGGGCTAACTAGCTAACAAAAAATTGACAGGTTTTGGATATTTTTACATGGAAATTGAACAAATTTCCGTCACTTTGAACTAATTCATCCTCCTAAGTATTTATCTTCTTCACTCGCTTGTAATTTCAGTAAATTACCTCAGGCTTCTTTTTACCCAGTCCGCAGTCCGATCTACGCACACATCAACGCGTCTCTACAAGGCCTAGTCACCATTAGAGCTAATTCTGCTGAAAAGCTGCTTCAGTATGAACTCAGTCGATACTTGGTAATTATCTTAACCTAACAGAAAACCGAAGTCAATGTATTAACGGTAGGTAACTTCATTGTGAGTGCAATCAAGTAAATAATATTGTACAAGATTGGAAGTTTTTGTAATTTTACATTAACTCTCACGTCTCAAGAAATGAAATACTTATGAAGGATAAAGATCCTTCATAGGCTTAAAATAGGCTGAAATTAAAGAATTTCAAGGCTTATAATTGTGCCTATATTTTATTCTCCTTAGTCGTGAGGGGGGGGGGGGTTAAGAAACTTTTTTCAACCTTAAAATTGGTTGATTAGAGCCTGTCTACTTGAACACACTCTAAACTACAGGTTACTTAACGTTCATGACATTTTTTCACAGCTAATACTTTTAAACTTTTTTTTTGAAAACAAATATCAGAAAGTTAAACGTTTCAGTTTGTTTAAGTTAAAATTGTAGCAAAAATGCTGACTTTTTAAGTTGGCAGCCTGTGCATGCAAAGTACCAAACAAAATAAGGGGTGCACCGTTACTGTATCAGAAATCAACACAACTGATAATGTTTAGTGTTGGCAGTGGGATAGATCTTTGCTCCATTGCTGACATGTAGTCCAACTGAGTCCCAGACTCACCACCACGTACCAATGATCACATTCCTCAACAAATTCGTGGGAATTTTTAAACAGTCTTAACTTTAACTGTCTCTTATTTCAATCTACTTTTTGAAAAGTCCTACACTCAGACAAATTATCAGTGTTATGTTATGCACCCTTTTATGGCGACTAAGCCCTTGATTCTAATTTTCTCTTTAGATTTCTCAGCTATTTCTTCATTTGCTGGTAAGCTAGCTGAATTAATTCTTTAAAAGGGAACTTCATATCATTCTAATGAGTTTTTCTAATGTTACTGTGATGTTCAAAGGACAGCAACACCAGCGCAACCCACATATTCTACAATACAATGGCTTTCTTGGCTCTTGTCCAGGAGTTTGTTACAACTTCCTACATGACTGTGTGTATCTTCAGCTTCACACTGTTCAAGTCTGGTGAGAAAAACTATTTATTAATTTATAGTAAAATCTGTTTTTAATAACAAAGTACTAAAATACAGTAGACTCGAGAAAATCCACTTATTAAACCTTGAGTCGTGTAGACAAAATGATTTTATAATTAATAACAATAACAAGGGTGCTATCTTCTACAACCAGCTGCCAGATAATAATAAGGCAGAATTACCAGAAAGGAATCTGAAGACAGCCCTGTCTCATTGGCTACTTTGGACCAAACGATATTGTCGTCATTGTCGAGCTGGAAGTTTCTCAAATGGAGGAATGAGAATGAACTGTCTCCAATACTTTCCTTTCATACTATGTAGTTAAATTCTAGCAACCTGTCACACTGTAACTCCAAGGACATTTTATAATAACTAGGTTAAGTCTTGACTCAGCACTCTACTCAATGTAAATGTGAATAAAGATTGATTGATTAATTGCATTTCATTACTGTATGTTGCAGCGTGGTCAGACACCAACGCAGGTCTCATCATTACCCAATGTCTGACCATGATGGGCTACTTGCACTGGGGCATGAAGATGTCAGCTGAGGCGGCCAATCAGATGGTCTGTATAGAGAGAGCCTTGGAGTACACTCAGTTGGAGCCCGAGGAATATGATCAAGGCAAGATCATTAACTAGAGTTATTTCTTTTGGTATGATAAGATCCTACAACTATTGTTTTCTGATTTGATAATCTGATTTTGTCAGTTTTGGGATATGGTTTGCATGTAAGAAACCTATATTCCATAGCACGCAAAGTTCTTCTAATCATTGTATCATGAGTAAGCTCATAATGGATAGTGACATTTTAAATTTCCTTTTTTATGGTATAGCCTCTGGATCACTGATTTTTACAATAAAAGGTTTAAATTACCTGTATCCGTCAAGTGATCCTGGTTTGTAGTTGGTTGACTACATCTGTTTCATGTTAATATTAACACATCTTCAGGTCAAACTGTTGCATTGATTTATTCCATAGAATGGTCGTCATAAAGTTTAAAGTTCACAAAAAAATAACTCATACTTGTATTCGAAACATTTAAAACTGATTGGCCAAAACACAAAGTGAAAAAGCGCTTAATAAACATCGGACATGTACGGCGCCGGTAGAAGGTAGGTCATGACTGTCGTGTGCCGGAAGTGATAGCCCCCCACCCACTATCAGCTGTTATCTATTGTGGTCTAAGATGCATATGGTGGCATTGTACATAATATTGGACTCGAATGAGAAATTTTTTTATTTTAAGATGATTTCAGGCTGTTTTTTTTAAGCACGGTATATTTCGAATTCTTCTAATGTGTCCATGTATTTTCCTTTGTTGCATGAATGGAGAACGTTGAGATTATTGTTTATATCTCTATAATTGTGGTTGGAATTAATCAAATGGTTGGAAAATGGCGGCTTGGAGGATATTTTAGGCAGGTGTTCGTTGAACCGGGTGGTAAATGATCGTGAGGTCTGGCCGATGTAGATGCTTGGGCAGTCATTGCAAGACAATTTATAGACTCCGGTTTTATTGAACTTGTCTACCCTTTCTTGTTTGTTTCTTGATTTGAGCATCGAATCAAGTTTAATTTGACGTCTTGAATGCTACAACAATGTTGCTTTTCGTCATTTCGCTTCTTAAGGTGTTATTAAGAGCAACGCCATACTCAGTACTGACATATTTTTTATTATTCCCATCCAAACTGGTCTGGTTGTGTTGGTGTGTTTGTTAATGAATTTGTCGATTATGGAAGGTTTGTAACCGTTGGAAACAGCAATGTACTTTAATATGCAAACCTCATTTTCGTAGTCAGTATTGTTGAGAGGAATGGACAATAGGCGGTGGACGAAACTATTATAAGCGGCAATCTTGTGGCTGTATGGATGGTGTGAAGATACGTGTATTGGCTGATCAGTCGTGGTCGGTTTCCGGTATATCTTAAATTGCAAGCTATTTTCGTTCTTTGTGATAGTGACGTCTAAGAAATTTATTGAATTGTTGTTTTCGGTTTCTAGAGTGAAGCTTATGTTGGGATGGATACTGTTTAAGAATGTGCCAAATAGTTTTAACTGTCACTCATTGCCATCAAACAAGATCAAAGTATCATCGACGTATCGGCAATAAAATGATAACTTTTTGTTTTTATGCCGGTTATCATCTGACCATAAGTGCTGATTTACGAAATGGTTCAAAAATATCTCAGACATTATACTAGAAAGGGGGGAGCCAAACCTTTGTTCTGAATGTTATAATTATTCTCGAATATGAAGTAGTTTTGTTTTAAGACACAGCTGACTAACTCATCAATTCATTTTTCGCTTCTTTCTGCAATTTAGAATGCTTCTCTAAATTATTCCGTAGAATATTAATTGTTTCATCAACTGGTACGTTAGTGTATACATTCACTATGTCAAACGATGCAATGGTGTGTGATTTTTTTATTTTTTAAGCCTGATATTTTGAACTCTTTGTAATAAGATCGGCCTTTGCGATAAGAGCGTTGCTTTGTTGTAGCTCTATAAATTGTCTTGCAATGACTGCCCAAGCTTCTACATCAGCCAGACCTCACGATCATTTACCACCCGGTTCAACGAACGCCTGCCTAAAATATCCTCCAAGCCGCCATTTTCCAACCATTTGATTAATTCCAACCACAATTAAACAGATATAAACAATAATCTCAACGTTCTCCATTCATGCAACAAAGGAAAATACATGGACACATTAGAAGAATTTGAAATATACCGTGCTTCAAAAAAACAGCCTGATAACATCTTAAATGAAAAACTCTCATTCGAGTAGAATATTATTTACAATGCCGCCATAGGCATCTTAGACCACAATAGATAACAGCTGATAGTGGGTGGGGGGCTATAACTTCCGGCACACGACAATCATGACCTACCTTCTACTGGCGCCGTACATGTCCGATGTTTATTACGCGCTTTTTCGTTTTGTGTTTTGGCCAATCAGTGTTAAATGTTTCGTATACAAGCATGTGTTATTTTTTTGTGAACTTTAAACCTTATGACAACCATTCTATGGAATAAATCAATGCAACAATTTGACCTGAAGATGTGTTAATATTAACATGAAACAGCTGTAGTCAACCAACTACAAACCAGGATCACTTGACGGATACAGGTAATTTAAACCTTTTATTGTTAAATTTCCTAATGTTTTTAAAATGCTGTTTTTGAGCACTTTTCTTTTTCTTCTTTACTTACAGATAATTTGATTTGTTTAAAAATATTTATGTCGCAGATAAAATTTTGGTTAAAGGGCATCTTAAGCAGTATTAGAGAACACACTATTATCAGTAATGCTGAAAAGTTTGCTTCACCACAGATGGGAAGGTGAATCCTGAGCCGAGCTGGCCTCAGTTTGGTATGATAGAAATGCGCTGTGTATTTCTGAGATACGACATCACCGAACCGTATGTGCTGCGCAACCTGAACCTTACTATACTGCCACAGGAAAAGGTACAGTGTTAAATGATCATTTTGGGATATACTTAAGATAAAGGCTTAGGCTATGTGCTTCAAAGTTGTCGTGTATAATCTTTTTAATTGCATATTTCAGATGAACATAAGTTTGCTTGAACAATTAAAGCAACTATTAACTTATCCTTTCTTGTCATTACTTGGTGAAACAATTTTGTCTTGTTTCCTGCGTTTTAAAATACCTAATTAGAACATAACAAATTAGTTATCATTGATATTTCCCGAATAAAGTCATACGGTATTTATTTTATCTAAGACTAACTTTGTAAATATATTTCCATACTCAATCTTATTTATTTAAAAAAACTTGGTTTTTCTTTTCCGACTACGTTTGGCTCTTCTACCCGACCAATTTTCATGATTGAGGTCTCAAATTGAAGGTATGCACGCACAGATATGCTATCCAGCATCGGCATATAATTATCTATAGTATCACTCGGTTTATACGCAAACGAAATTTGCTCCCCATGTATTTCTCATGGAAGTTAAATTTGGTTTCTCTTTGCTGAGTTCGTTTGGCTCTTCTACCCGACCGATTTTCATGTTTGAGGTCTCCAATTGAAGGTATGCACATACAAATTTGCCATCAAGCATGGGCATGTATTTATCTATAATCCCACTCGGTGTATACGTAAAAAAAATTTGCTCTCCATGTATTTCTTATGGAAGTTAAATTTTGGTTTTCTTTGCCGAGTCCGTTTGGCTCTTCTACCCAACCGATTTTCATGATTGATGTCTCGAATTGAAGGTATGGATATGGATATGGGTATGGTATGGGTAACTGGTTCTGGGCAAATGGTCTGGCCCTAAATGTGGAAAAAACACAAATTATAAACTTTTCAGCTAACTACAGGGATTAATACAGGGATTAACTAATAATCAAATCACATTATCCTTTCAAATCATCAATTATCTCCACAACAAAATGTAAAATTTCTCAGATTAATTTTGAACAAAAATCTTAACTGGGCATCTCAAATTGAAAATGTAAGTAAAATATTAGACCCTTGCATTTTCTCAATAAGAATAATGTCACAAGTAACGAATCTAGAACCCCAGCTAATAATATATCTAAACATTTTTGCCACCAAGACTGATATTCGAATATATAATAGGTTACGTACCTTGGTCCGTCTTCAGTCTTATTTTAGTCAATGGATGACTAGTTTTGGATGACTAGATTGACTAGTACCTCATTCTGAAACATATAGCTGTTAGCAATGGCTACCCCAGCAGTATTATTGATAAGATAATCAACAAACAAAAAAACAAAATTAGTAAACCGATTGATAAACCCAACAACTTTGTATCTGTCGAATTCGGAGCCAACCTACACTATACCTTAAAAAACGAATTAAAGAAACATAAAATCACCTTAGCCAGTAAACAAACTACAACGTCATTTGAGCCAAAACAGCCCTAAACAAAATGATAATGATTTAGATGATACAGGTGTTTACAAACTTTCGTGCAATGACTGCTCAAAATTATACATAGGCCAATCGGGACGTTCTTTTAACACCAGGTTTAAAGAACACCTCCCTAAACCAAAACTGTCACTACAACGTTCCAAATTTGCAGAACATTTAATTAATACCAATCACAATGTCAATAGTTGACAAAATAATTTACAAATCTTGCACAAATGCAGTAAAGGCCCTCTCATGAATGTCTTAGAGAGTCTAGAAATTTATAAAGCTTATAAAAAATCCCCTCAAGACGTCTTGAATGAAAAACTAAATTTTGGTTCAAATATTTTATTCGATAGAATTGCAAGCATTGACAACAGAGCTAATACAAGTCTTTATCAGCTGACGTACCCCCTCCCCCAAGGTCAATGTCACCAACTGGACAATGGATAGTTCTGTCGTGTCCGCCGTGTAACCTGTGTCGGTTTGTCCCGTGTTAAAAGTGGCCGGCCTATCAATCGTCTTATATGTTGCGTAACTTTTGTTTTTTAAATAATGAACTTTATGTGTCAACATGTATTTATATAATGATGAAGACTTCCGTCGGATTTTTGACTAGCTTCTACATGATGTTTTGAAAAGGATTTGACAATGGGTCTTTGTACCCGAAACTAGTCATCCATTGACTAAAATAAGACTGAAGACGGACCAAGGTACGTAACCTATTATATAATAATATATCATGCATATTTCTCATCATTAATGACATATGGTATCTTAATCTGGGGTAACTCTCCTTATTCAAAAAAGATTTTTAAATTACAAAAAAAGTAATACAAATTACAGTATTGGCAAAGTTCCCCCTAGAACCCCTAGTAAAAAACTGTTTCAAAACTTTAAAGTTCTTACTTTTAACTTTTTACGATCACTATATTTTGGAAATAGCATGCTGGGTCCATAGAAACCTCTCCACTTTTATGGAGACCCAAACTCAACATAATTAATTACAATACAAGAAAAAAGAATATTATCAAACCTGTAGCTTATAATTTACAAATATTCCAGTTATCACCACAATACATTGGTCCAAAAATCTTAAATAACTTACCAACAAGATTAATTACTCTAGAAAATCCCTATAAGTTTAGACTTTCTTTAAAAGAATGGCTCAAGACTAAATTTTTTTTTTCATTGGCAGATTATTTTAAGGACTGCTGGAATTAGGTATAAATAAACCTTCCCACTCCTTCTAGCTCAATTTTTTGTCACGTAACGATGTTGTATTTTGGGAAGATTTAGTTGATTTTGTGTAAATAAAGATGTATTAGTTTTATCTATTAGTTTTAAGTCTTTATTTAACAATTGACAATATGCCCTGTTATTATGATGTACTGACATGTAACTCAATAAATAAACAAATATGTACGCACAGATTTGCCATCAAGCATCGGCATATATTTATCTATAATCCCACTCGGTGTATACGTAAACGAAATTAGCTCCCCATGTATTTCTTATGGGAGTTAAATTTGGTTTCTCTTTTCTGAGTTCGTTTGGCTCTACTATCTGACCGATTTTAAGTAATGAGGTCTCAAATTGAAGTTATGCACGCACAGATTTTCCATCAAGCATCGGCATGTATTTATCTATAATCCCACTCGGCCTACACGTCAACAAAATTTGCTCCCCATGTATTTCTTATGTGAGTTTAATTTGGTTTTTTTTCTGAGTTTGTTTGGCTCTTTTACCCAACCAATTTTTATGATTGAGGTCTCAAATTAAAGGCATGCCAAGTTTTCTCATAAAGCATCGGCAAATATTTACCGACTGTATTACTCAACCAAAACACATAATTTGATTTATTTTCTCATTCTTACTTAAACTTAAGATGTACCTTCACCAGTTATAATTTTAAAATCCTATATATTTTAGTCAGAGTTTCAAGCAAACACAAGGTGAAAAACCAACATAAAAATTATTTTTTCATACGGTTTATATGATTAAAAGTTAATAGCTCCAGTATTGGTAATGTTTTTCTATATATATGTTTTTTGTCATAAATTTCATTATTTCTCGAATATTATATTTGTTTTAACGCTGAAGAGCAGCACGGGTCCTATAGACTCAAAATAATCAGTAAATTATAGGCTTTAATATGAGCTAACGATCGTTTAAATCAGTTAAGCTCAAGATACTGTATTACTCAATCAAAAATCATAAATTTAATTATTTCTCGGATATATTATATTTATTTTAAAGCTGCAGAGCAGCATGAGTCCTCTAGTTTACTATTAGCAAAACATCAATAGCTTAGCTATACTAGTTTCATGAATCCAGATTGTGTATGGAATTTGAACACATTATTCAAATCGTTATCATTTATACAAGATGTTTACTTTTTCTAATATTTTTTGTCATAATAGATCTTTATTTTTGTTATGGCTATGGATAATACATTGTTAAAACGTAATCAACAATGTTTTATCTGAGCCACTGTTTTACTAACTTAATATTCTTAACTTAACTTAACTTTTCATTTATTCATTATTCAATACATTTAGCTTTAACTAAAATTGAACCTCAATAACAAGACTACTGTATTGTTAACACAAGTGTAATTTTCAAATTCCCTTGAATTTATTTTACCCCATATCACAATATGTTAGGTACTGCAAACCTTGAAATGAAGTCAACCTTGATTTTATTTATGAACAGAACTATTTTTAAAATTAGTACCCTTCATTCGATTTTTATCTTAGGCCTATATATTTTTTAAAATTATCAGCAAGTTTGGTTGATTAGGTTAGGTTATCACAGTAAAATTTTATAGTAAAAAATTTTAAAATTAATTTTATAATTAAAAAGTTAGTTTTATATTTAATAAAAACTATTAAATAAATTTAAAGATTAAAGTGGGGGATTTCCCACGATCCCCCACTCCTTCGCAGAACAGGTTCTCATCAGTTCCTGGAAGAGGGAAATGAGACGCTAGTAAGATTCATCATTATTGGACCAAATTTTATTAAAAAGAATTTGTTACCATAGATACGTAAGACTTCATTGCTTAAATTTTCTTTGGATGCAACAATTTATTATTTAAATTGAAAAAGTTCAATTTGGCCTTTGAAAATGAGCTGGCTCAAACGACTTATTCCAAATTTGGCTGTTGCACTAACAACTGTTGAGACCACTCGCCGCCAGTACTATAAGGTCCAAAAGGAACTGAAATTTTACAGACGAATCCATAAAATTCTCAAACAAACCCAGAGTGAAGACGAATCCCCAACTGATCCTGATCCCTAAAATTATAGCAAGATGACAAAATTTCTGTGAAAATATAAATTAAGAGTAAAAAAAATGTTATTCGATGCAATCAAAATTAATGAAGATAGCCTGAATCCTACCAGAGACGATAGCTGAACCCTACTAGAGACGATAACTGAATCCTACCAGAGACGATAGCTGCACCCTACCATAGACGATAGCTGCACCCTACCATAGACGATAGCTGAACCCTACCAGTGACGATAGCTGCACCCTACCATAGACGATAACTGAACCCTACCAGAGACGATAGCTGCACCCTACCATAGACGATAGCTGAACCCTACCAGTGACGATAGCTGCACCCTACCATAGACGATAGCTGAACCCTACCAGAGACGATAGCTGAACCCTACCATAGACGATAGCTGAACCCTACCATAGACGATAACTGAACCCTACCAGAGACAATAGCTGCACCCTACCATAGACGATAGCTGCACCCTACCATAGACGATAGCTGAACCCTACCAGTGACGATAGCTGCACCCTACCATAGACGATAGCTGAACCCTACCAGAGACAATAGCTGCACCCTACCATAGACGATAGCTGCACCCTACTAAAGCCGATAGCTGAACCCTACCAGAGACGATAGCTGAACCCTATATGAGATGATAACCATCCTTACCCTGTCTGAGACAGAAACGCTTCCTGATTGTGTCAACAATACAACGGAAAACAATGTTTTCTTGTATTAAAATATTGTAACCAACCAATCAATTTTAAAATTAAAAATTATTATCTCTTTGTTTAAAGGTGTATTAATAATTTTATTATGTAACAATTTTCAAATTCAACAAATCACAGTGTGTGTAAACCAAGCATTATAAATTAAAATAGAGGCTTGAATAAACCATTTTCTGATATTCTCAACAACATCAAGGATGAAAGTGGTTCAAGTATTGGTGATACAAAATTTGTTTCTAATATGTTTAAATAGATTTTTTGTGGAAGTAGGCAGTGGAGAGAGATTTTTCTTAAGGAGCAAGAAAGAGGTAGTAGAAATAGTCAAGACCTTGTAAACCAAGCCATCGTCAGCTGTAATAGTATGTCATCAAAGCATCTGAAGTCCTGTTGTGAATTTATGGTAGATCCTTTGGTTCATATAACCACTACTTTCAAAAGGGAAGTTTTCCACACACAATAAAATTATCTGTTGTTAGGCAAATATGTATATACAGGGTGATTGATATAAGTGTGCCAGCCGTTTTATTCGAAAACTAGAGATATCAAAAAAAGTTAAATGGTAAGTGCCATGGATTTTCTATTTGAAAAAATGTAGTCAAGTCAAAAAAATTATTTTAGCCGCCATTTTTCCAATATGGCCGCCAACGTAGATTTTTCTTATGGAACACCCTGTATTTTATGATGTATTCAGGTAGAAAAAGTAATTTTAAGACGATTTTATTCCTGTGATTTTTTTCATAAACCTAACCGTTTCAAAGATAATAATGGTTAAAGTTTTGAAATTTCTGCATGAGAAAGAGTTTCGATAAAGGCCTAAGCAAGCACGCCAGCTGTTTATTTCGAAAACCATTCAAAATTTCATAACTTAAACCATTATTATCTTTGAAACGGTTAGGTTTATGAAAAAAATCACAAGAGTAAAATCGTCTTAAAATTACATTTTCTACCGGAATACATCATAAACTACAGGGTGTTCCATATGAAAAATCAAAGTTGGCGGCCATATTGGAAAAATGGCGGCCAAAATAATTTTTTCGACTTGACAAAAATTTTTTAAATCAAAAATCCAAGGCACTTACCATTTAACTTTTTTTGATATCACTTATGGTTTTCGAATAAAACGGCTGGCACACTTATATCAATCACCCTGTATATATATATATATATATATATAGTTATATATGTGCCCGTAAACGCGATTACTTGATTAGTTTTTGTCTGATTTAAATGAAATTTGGTTTGAAGGTGTAAGGCGGTTGGTTATAAACTTAAATGAGTTCGGGTTTATTAAGAAAATATCCATAGATGTAGATCCAGGTTCTACTGTACATCGTCCTAATGTAATTTCCTTCTCTAACTTGTGTTTGGTGATCAGATAGGTATAGTTGGACGTACGGGAGCAGGCAAGTCATCCCTTATTACAGCCCTATTCCGTCTTGCGCCGGTGGAAGGTCAGATCTTCATGGATGGTCTTGACACTGGCACTGTTCCTCTGGAGCGTCTCCGATCTGGCATCTCCATCATCCCACAGGATCCTGTCTTGTTCTCCGGGACTATCCGGACTAACCTGGACCCCTTCCAGAGGTACTCGGACGCACAACTGTACAGTGTGCTTCAGGAGGTTTGTGTTTCGGTTGCAAATATCTGAGTATTAACTACCAACAGTCAAAGCTATTTCAGGATGTACATATAAATACAGTCCCCAAACTCTGCACCCTATAAACCCAGCTGTCTGTATTTCTCAGTGAAACTTTGAAGAAGAATTTTTAAACAATTTTCTTGTTAATATAGTAACCCTGGTGGTGAGCCATACGACTTCGTATGTTTGATAGTTGCACTGTACTGTATTATAGAACTTGAAGTAATTAATTACAATATTATCTAAGACTTAATATAATAAATTTGTTTAGGGTTTCAACATTTATTTGCTTACAGGTTAAACTGAATGATAGTAACCAGGAATCAGAGTTGCTTAATCTCGATACACAAGTGACTGAAGGAGGAGGGAATTTTAGTCTTGGACAACGGCAGTTGGTATGCCTGGCTAGGGCCATCCTGCGGAGCAACAAGATTCTGGTCCTTGACGAAGCCACAGCAAATGTTGACCCTCAGTAAGATGTTAACATTTACATTTATTATTATCATTTATCGCAAAATGAAGAATACCAGTTTCAATAATGTTTAGTGGTGTGTCACTGTTCCTAAGTTGATTGTAAGGGTTTGGTGTAGTATGAATTTTTAAGAGTTATGTTGTTACAGTTTTTAAACCTTATTATTAACATTAACTTCGTAAAAAAAGTAATTTCAATGGAAGTGTTAAGAACAAAGAGGTGCACACTGAAGTTACTTGATCAAGAATAGAGAGGTTGACTCGCAGACATTGTCTTCGAGGTATTGTTACAACAAAATAACACCCTGTGGTAGGTGGTAGCACATCACCGATTGTACCTTCAATCAACCTTAGCTCAAGTCTGATTATTCTGGACTCCTCTCTTGATTGGTAGTTTTTTAAAGTAATTTTAGTTTTATCGTAGACTTATGAAACAATCTCCTGATCCTGAATACCACCCATGACTGTCCACCATCTGACACGATTATTGATTGATACTGATTGTCTCTACACATTCTGTATGTTGGCAGGACTGACGCTCTAATCCAGAGCACCATCCGTCACAGGTTTACCAACTGTACAGTACTGACTGTGGCTCATAGACTCAACACTGTCATTGACTCTGATAGAATTCTTGTCATGGAAAATGGAACAATTGCTGTAAGTAAGACTAGAAAGTAATGGTTTTTTTAATAAGTAATGAGTTGAAGGGTTTTTGTTTTTTCAATTATAACACCAAACAAGAAGCATTTAATTAAAAAAATGTTGTGAATGCCTTTGCCTAAATTGTTTGGAAATTTAAAAAAAATTGTGGATTAACTATATAGTTTTGTTGCAGGAATTCGATCATCCACATATCCTGCTCAGCAACAGTGACGGATTGTTCTTCCACTTGGTTCAGCAGACAGGTTTTGCGATGGCCCGAGATTTGGCTGTCATTGCTGAACAGGTGACACAGATTGTTTGGATAGAGTTATATCAATTGTATCTATTTTTAGAAATAAGTTGAAACAGAGTCTTGATTATACTCCTTTAACAGGCCACAACAAGGTTGAAAAAGCTAGGATAAGAAGAAGAAGAATAAGAATAAGAATAATTTATTCCATTGATCTTTTACAAAGAAATAGGACAAGTCATATACAAGTACATCAAAATACATCTGATACATCAAAATATTACATAAAATACAATTAGGCATAATAACTTATTTCAATTAAAATTTAACATCAAAATTGCACTTGATAAAGTCACTTAGGTTGTAAAAAGGATTTTTAATAAGCCAATTGTAAATTCTTTTTAAAAAAATATAGTCAACAAGTTTTGCACTGTCAGGTAGAGTATTAAAAAAGCGAATTGAGTTAATTTTGAAGGAGTCACCCGTTTTAGCTAGTCTATGAGGTTTCATGCTGAGCTTGCCTCCACCCCTAGTGTTGTACTCATGAGTGTCAGATCTAAGGGGGGAAGAATGCAAGTTTGACTTGGTGTAAAAAAATACTTGAAAAATGTACAAATTAATTACTGTTGGAATTTTTAATTCTATGAAAAGAGGTTTACAATGAGCTAGGAATCTAGAATTAGCAATATTACGTACTGCCTGTTATTGAATCGACAGAATATCAGCTGAACCCTGCCAAGACCCAAGTTTGTGCCTTTCACCTAAACAATAGAGAAGCAGGCCGTGAGTTGAATGTGTGGTGGCGGGGAGACCCTCTTCAGCATTGTCCTACACCCAAATATCTTGGTGTCATACTGACATTTAAGGCGCATTGTATTGCGACAAGAGGTGAAGTCTCAGCGAGGAATAATATCATCAGGAAGCTCACCAGCAGATGCTGGGGTGCTAACCTTAATGTCCTCAGAACCTCAGCTTTAGCGCTCAGTGTGTCGGCTGCGGAGTACGCTGCACCAGTATGGAATGCATCGTCACATGCAAAAAAGGTTGACATTGCAGTCAATGACATGGCTCGGATTGTAACTGGGTGTTTGAAACCAACCCCAGTACACAAACTCTATCCTAGCATAGGGATCGCCCCTCCATCAATCACGCAGAAAGGACTAAGCAAGAGACAGACCCTTGTCACCCATTACACGGCCACCAACGTGCAGAGCGACGGCTTCGGTCCAGAAAGAGCTTTTTATCACAGACACGAGTCCTGGATGACAAATGGATATAAGGATGACAAATTAATATGAGTTTATTTTTCAGAATTTCAAGAACTTATGATCAACTAGCCACATTCTTACAACATTTTACTCAAGATTGACTACAGTATTGTTAACCTTTGTAAATAAACTTATATTATCTAAAATATCAATATTTTACACTGACAATATCTCTTATCTCTTAATCCCCCCTCCTAAAATACTGATTATAATTTGTTTGGGTAATGTGTTGTTTTCAGGTCCACCAATTGCTTTACTAAACCAACACTTTAGCTATGCAATATTTTACTGCAAGAGTGAAATATGTAGTACTTAGGTTTGCTGAAACAGGGAGGGTAAAAAGGTTTTTTTTGTAAAATGTTAATAGTTTAGTATGAAATAAATGCATTTTCCAAATTGTTGTTCAAAATAGTTCATAAACAAGCAAACTACACCAGACAACTTATTCTCCATAAGGATGGTGTGTATATAGGTATTAGCTTATTCCATTTTATGTATGGGAAATAAATTATCTAAAATCATTTGTGCTATTAATCTGTCGCAATCATTCAGCTCGCTCTATTCAACCTAAATTCCTAGGATGCCTCATGCTTTGCGCCAAGTGTCTGTTCACCATTAATTAATTGATAATACAATGCATCATATACTGCAGACTTCCTGTTATTGGATGGTCATGTGCGTATGATTATGCAGCCAAATGCACATGCTTTATCTTTAGCCACATAAACTTGGTTCTGTCCTATACGTGCTGATATTATTATATTTTCTTTATTTTGTATATTAAATGTGTGGTTTTGAAATTTTTCCATTGTTTTTAGCTTCTGGTTTGGACAAGGGTTCAGTCCTAAAATTCTCTAAATGAGAGTCTATTGCAATGTTAAACATTAAAGCACTTTATATAGGTATACTTATATTTTGAACACATTTGTTTGACTTTAAGTACAACAGAGTCTTGCTATTCCAACCTAATTGGGAAAAAACCTTTTTAGGATTAGCAGGAATTCAATATAGGCTAATTTCACTAATTTCATTCGGACAACAATCCAAACCGATGTATTGAATTGTATTGTATAATTGGCATTGCCTAATAAGTGCAACAATATCTGATAATCAAATATATAACTTATTGATAGTGATTCACTGAATGTTGGAAGGAAATTACTTTCAATGACTGCTTTTCCCAAGTGCTATATGGAGATAGTGTTGTACAAACTACTGTACTAGACTCACCACCCCTACCACTCTACTATAACTGTCTTTTCAAAATTAAGGTGGTTTTAGGTTTCCTAGGTTTCCCCACCTTTTTTTAGCTTAATCCATATAAGCTTGAGCCATAAGCAGTCGGATTTTGTTTCAAAGATAGAGTAAGGTGGAAGGGATGGAATCGCTTCCCCTCAAACCGCTTATATTTTGTGAGCGGAGTATAATCACCCCCTTCCCTGCGGTTTACTCACTTGACTGTGACTGTATTTTTTTAACTATGTTCAGAACAGCTGGTTTGGGATAGCAGGACTGTATTCTTACACTGTTGAAGTGTTACATTGCAGTTAGTTGCAGTAGTCCACCTGCACCTGTGTCCGGCAAGTTTTACACTTGACGTAGCAACACCAGTAGTACTTGCAGTGACATCTCTCCAGTCTCTCCTCCCAGCGAGTCTTGTAACCTCTGCCGCAACACATGTTGTTGCAGCTAGAGTAGCCCTCAACTGAGCTGTTACATCTTCTGCAACAATAGAGTGATTAGTAACATAAACTACAATTACCGGACCACTAGGTCATTAGGAAGATACCTCATGGTATGGTTTGTGAATTGTTACTATACGTTTCAATTTCAACTCCAATGAACCAAACTTTGGTAATCTATAAAACATTAAGAGTCACAAGGTCTGAAGGGATATGAAATCACTGCAAACAATTTAATGATAAGTTTCAAATATTTAAGTTTAAAGTTTCAAACATTACTGGGATTACCTGGAGATGCCAAGAAATTGAACGGACCACAGGAGTCTGTATCTGTACACATCAGCAATACCGTATACACACAGATATCACTTCAAAAACTACTTTTTTGGGTTTATGGGGACCAAAAACGAATATTTTCCTCAAAACAAGCGAACATTTTACAAAAACAAAATGTATATTATATTGTGAGACTGAGAGGGGTGGATTCGTGGTCGAAGCCTGTCAACCGAAGCTTCTATGTACAAGGGGAGGGGGGGCGTAATGCCTAAAGTGAAATATCCAACGTTACACCAGTAAGAAAAAGCTATTGCCGAGATTTCAGCTCAAGCCCAGTTGTTCAAGGTACTAGCGTGAGTAGTTACACTCCAAAACTCAGTTCAGAAATGAGACCATTTATCTTGGAGAACGTCACCTAATTTTACCTCATTATCTCACCATTCCTGCCAATCAAAGAGTTAAACACGGCCAATAAAACTTAACAGGAAACGCCACGAGAGAATAGGTAATAATGCCACTGGACTACACCGTGTCATCAGATAAAACCCCAGTTATCTAAAGCATTCCACTTTTTCACTCCAAATTAAATACCCGCCCAATTAGTTTTGAACACTCATTATTATATTTTTTCGAATGAATCACCGCCAGATTCCACATCACAAAATGGCGGCGACGAAAGACATGATCGGGTGGAATGCGGCTGTTGCGGGTTTTTGTAGGTCTTTGGGAGGTTTTCTCCAGCAGCTAGGACGAAATTACAGCGACCAAGTTGTCTGGGTGAATTTAATTATTTTGTGAACGCTGCACACAAAGGGAATAGAGGGGATAGCGATAGCAGGGTGAATATTTCACAATAATTTTTAAGCGAATCATTATTAGGAATCAAAATTGGAATACATAGTCAATCCTATCACCAATATCTTAAAAAAAAATAAAATATCACAACGTACCTATTCAATTGTTAAAGTTTCTCAATAATTGGCGCATTTAGTAGGCGGAAGATGGTTAAATGCATGGTAGTCTACTTCAAAGACAGCTCGTGTTTAATTAGAAAATATAGTTAATGCTGTATTTAGGCGTCAGTGTATCTCAATATAGTATAGCATGTTATTTTTTGGGGAAAATGTGTTCAAAGTGCAACCCCGTTTTTCCTTTATAGGAAGTATCGTGTAGAAATGTTATTTTTATTTTGGCAAACTTAACTTATGATAAAATTTCGTCGACCCAAAATATGGTAATCTTATAGCCAGTGTAAGATGTAATTACCTTTCCCTAGTTAAAACTTCAGTATTAGGCCTATTTATTAACAGAGGGGCTTTTTAAATCCTAATAACCCGTTGCACATTTTTAGGTTTATTTTCACATCAAGTCGTCACAGAATTTCGATCTGCTAGTTGAAGATAAAAATAAGTGACTTTAGACTTTATAATAAAATACTTCATGATTGACCCAAAGCTGCAGTGAGGCCATCTTTTGACGGTCGTCCACACAAATCTCAGCAAAGTACTTTTCTTCTTAGGTGCAGTGCAGAGTGCAGTAGCTGAGGCTCTGGATGATGTGGGAGTATTTGTATACTGTCAATTTTGCCATTTTTAAAGTCATATTGCATTCTAGTCCGGGTGGGATCTTGCTTCTTACTTGTCCTCGCACCCTCAAACCACATAATAAGCCACATATCACGCAGTTTAAGAAGTTCTTAGATTAAAAATATAAGTACCGGGGACCAAGCCATGGCTCGGTATAGTTTGTTTCGGTTGTAAAAGCAATGTAAAGGGAACTCACGTTGTATGTATAACTAATTTTGGCTTTTATTATTATTAAGTTTCAGTGGAATTTCAATTTGTTATGATGGAAATTAAACTTTCATGAAAACAAGTGTCGAAATTTAGTTAAACTATAAAAAAGAGTGCATACCAATAATTTGTAAAATCTACTCTTAAATAAGAGTGAAACGTTGAGTTGACGCCAGTGCACTCAAACGTCACCAACACGAAACACTCATCAACACTTGCTCTATTTCCCCCTATATCGAGTAATATTCTTTGTAATCTTTGCTCAATAGTTACAATTGATATTTATCCCTTTGTTATGTATTATGTAGTTTGCTAGTATACTGTGGAGTGTGGATGGCTTGTTATAAACACATGTTACAACACAATTCTTTTGTTTACTTTTTCCTTGTTATTTTGTTCAACCAACATAGTTTACTTAGCATCCCATAAAGCCAATTTTAAATTTTCAAATGAGTTGTGTAGTGAAATACGAATTTTCCTGAGGTAGGCTATATAGTAGCTGTCGCCGATCACGTTTTAGGGCTACAAGTCCCTAATTCAAAAATGTAGTAATATCCTTCCGCTGGATTTCAAGATACTTTATCATCGCCAGAGGAGATTCACGTGAGCCTCTTTTCAATATAGATGAATAGCTCATAATATTTAATGGCGCTATCAATTTATTCAGCCCTGGCTGGTCAATGATCATGAAGAAGTTATGTATTTGGATGCGTTTAGGGCTGGCGTTACAATTCAAGAAAAATACAAGTTGCCATGTATGGAACTTTATCCAATCCAGTCACGCGAAAATATTTTGTAATTTCGATTTCACACACTTTTAAACTAGCCTAAAAAGTACTCAATTGTGGAAACTGCTTCCTAAAAAAATACTACGTTCAACAATGGTTCAACACTGCAATGAAATATATGATAAAGAAAACGAAAAAAATAAAAGAGGGTTTCATAATAAGAGAACCGTTATAACATTTCTCAAACCTTGTATCAGCTTGAAAATAGATATGTAGGGCCTACCTGCCATGTGTACCGACGCTGCCGGTACGATAGTCTCTGTGGCAGTAGTCAGGGCTGTCGTTTAGGTACAGAAGATCATCTGGAGAGTAGAGAGGACCAGGAGAGGGTCTAGCAGGTAGAAGTTTCCACCCCACAGCCCCACCCACTCGGACTGCAACAGAGTGGGGGTATCTGCGGACCAATCGAGTGGCGATCTCTTGTAGTCGTGACGGCAGAGCTCGCCAACACGTTCGTATACTGCACGACCCCGAGACTCCGTGACACTTGCATTGTGACTGCTCACTGCTCTCCACGAGCTGAGGAATGGAAATAAACCTAAAATCTGACTTTAGCCCTGTAAAATTAAGTCCAGAATATTTCAAGTACATTTCAAAATTTACCAATAGGACAGA